TTAAATGCCAAGTACAGTGCAGGGATGAAAAGCCATTTCTGCACAGAGCAATATCTCAAAAGTTAATTGTGCCTCTGGAGGCGTGAAACCCACAGACGTGCTTTATGCTCCAGGGCGTCTCAGAGCCGGGCGAAGGGGGCTCTTCTCTTGAAGGGCTGCTGCCCAATCATTTCCCTTCTTGACACATCAGGGTGGTTGCTCCAGACTCTGAAGAAGGAAGATGGGCAAAGATGACAGTTATGCCTGTCTAGGGATTGCTGAAGACCTGTGCAATCAAGGATGAAAAAACTTTAAAAAGTTGGATGCTGAAATAAAATTTTGTACAGGTGGTTCAAATATTTTCTAACATTTGCTTCAGTTCTGAGCCCCACAGCTGCCTGGAACTAGGGAATATTGGCTCCCTCAACAATTTCAGGCTATCGCCAGGCTCCCACAGCTCGTCCAACCACCCACTTCCCTGAGATGAAGGGCATTTGCCCAGATTTTCAGAAGAAGGCAGTGTAAGCCAGGCCAAGGCAGGACTCCATTGCAATAGGAATCTGTTTGGAGCTGTCCAATGTACATTGAGGGGCCCTTCGTTTGCAGGAAATCTGAACCAATCCCTCCCTGGGCCAGGAGAACACAAACTTTTCTTCCCTGGGCCACCCACAGTCTGTTGTCCACCAATTGCCTGCAGTGCTTTTGTTTTGGGAAAGTTGTGCCGTTTGAACAGTTCAAGGAACTTGACCTGGGTGATTATCCCCTCTCGGGCATTCCTTAGCCCTTCCCCCTCCCTAGGAATTTACCAACACCCAATGGTTCTGGGTAACACCTGCCAATTCCTTCAGAACTCTGGGATGTAAACCATCAGGTCCTGGTGATTTATAGTCATCAAGATCAGATAGGTGTTCTCTAATAATTTTCTTGCTTGTTTTAATTTTTATTTCTAGTCTGTCTTTTACAGTTAAGTTTTTTTTGCTATGGTTTCTTTTTGTGTGAAAACTGAGGGTGCAAAGAATGAGTTAAGCAGGTCTGCTTTGTGAGGAGTCCACAGATATTTTCACACCCCTCTTTCTGTACAGGTATCTGGTGTGATTTTGCCTATCTTCACCTGCTGCTTCCTATCTGTTAGAAAGCTTATGATCCACTTACAAGTGTGGTCAGGCACAGCTAGCTGAATCAGTTTAGTGAGAAGAATACCTGGAATGATGGGACTGAATGCTGAGCTGAAGTCTACAAAAAGGACCCTTGCATAGGTCCTTTGGGATTCATGATGTTGCAAGTTGTAGTGCAGCGCCATATTGACAGCATCATCTGCCGATCTATTTGCGCAGTAGGCAAACTGCAATGACTTTAACAGCTTAATGCTATTTTGAATTCCAGACCTCCGAGCTTTACAAGAGGAAGCAAAAGCATTTGTCAAGCATGGGGGCGGGGAGTCAAGGTTTCCAAGCTAAGCTACTCCCTGCATGCAAGGATTGGTTGTCCCAGGGGCTGCTCCAGCACCCGTGTGTTTGTCTCAAGCCTGCAAGCTGCCAGCCTTTGCTGGATCTGAACTGTGTCTCATGCTGATCCTGCTCCTCGTACGTCAGAGGAGCAGCCCTTTTGTTCAGGAAAAGAAGCCTTCCCTCAGCTGCCCCCCCCCTCCCCAGAGACTTTGCAGCTGCCCCTGGTTGGAGAATTCTCAGCACATCTGAAGGGGCCAGCTGGGAGGGGGGGGTTGCCTTTGCATCTTGCTTGCTGTGTTCAGCAGATGCAGAGCAAGGAAGATGAGGCTTCCATTGCTTCCAGATCAGCCAGCTGCCCTGGGGAAATGGCCGCTACACAAAGGCTGGGCCGAGGGGATCCAGCGAGGATGCTCGGCAGATGGAAAGAGCTGATCTGTCTGTCAAAGAGCTTCTCTCTCAGTGACTTCACAGCCTTTGCATGAAAAAGCATCCCTTGTGCCAGGCAGGTTACATCGTGAAGTCTTGGATGGCCTTGGTGTGGCAGAAGTGAGGCCTTCGTTACATCCCATTTCCCCCTTCCTAGATGGATAGGCAATCAGGACCCAAGCAGATGGCATTTTGCTTTCCTTGGCTTTCACTCGCAATCCAACGTCTCTTCATTTGCCCTGCAATAATAGCTCTAGTCATGTGATCAACATAAGCTCTCTGTTTTTCTTGCCTGAAGTGCCATTAAGAATCCGGAGCGTATCCACTTACAACAGGCCAAGCGAGCATAATGAATCAAAGCGTCTATTTGCTTTGAATTGCCACTGACATACCATCTTTAGATATTTGCAGCTGATTTTGAAAACAGGAGGAGAAAAATCCCATTGGCTGGAAAGGAAAAGGCAGAAGCCATCAAAGACCTGGAGACTCCTAGCTTGCAGGCTCTACACCTCTTCCTTCATGTCCTCCCCTTGGGTTCCCCAGCCAGAACCTCAGGGGAGACCCTGGCTCTGCCCAGCGCTCTGCCTAGAGTCCTAGACCCTGGCCTAACCCCCCCGCCTCGCCTGGGGATGGGCACAGAAGGGCTTGCAAGGAACAGTCCTGTTGATTTCAGGTGGGCAGCAGAAGCAGGATTTGTGGGGGCTTCGTTTTGTCCACTTGAGTTCTTTCCTTCACCAGAGGTCACTCATGAAGTCTAAGACGAGACTGTGTCAAAAGCCCTCCGATCAAAGATTATCTTCAAAATACATGGAAAGTGCTGGCCTGGAATCAAAGGGGAGCATTTTGTCCAACCTCAAAGGCACATCTGCTTAGGAGCGGATGTAATGTAACTGCATCAGAGACAGACGGGTCAAAGCAAAATGGGAGTATAGAGAAAGGGCCCATTGAGAAATAAAATGTTCTTGAGACCGGGCTGGATCTGACTGGAATGGGACATAGAATCCTAGAGTTGGAAGGGACTCTTGAGGCCATCCAATCCAACCCAACTCCTGTTCAGCAAGGAACCTCAGTTCAAGTATCTCCAGCCTCTCCTTAAATACCTCCAGTAAAGCGGAGGCCACCACCTCTCTGGGTCAGTAGTTCCACTGGATCCTCCCTCGGACCCCTCTCCAGATGTGAGTTCAGAGGAGGAGGGGGAGTTTGAGACAGAAGAGAAAAGAGCAGCTTCCCCCTTGACTTTGCTTGTCAGAAGGTTGCAAAAGGTGATCGCGTGACCCCGGAACACGGCAGCTGTCATAAATATGAGTCAGTTGCCCAGCATCCAGATTTTGATCACATGACCCTGGGATGCTGCAACGGTCGTAAGTGTGAAAAATGGTCATAAGTCACTTTTTCAGTCCCCTTGAAACTTTGAACAGTGACTAAACGAATGGTCGTAAGTCAAAGACTACCTGTATGTTCAGGATTGCAATTAGCAATATATTTTTTCCTGAATCAAATCTTTGGACCGTCTTCTCCTTTCTAGCAAATTAGGTTGAGTTGTTGCTCTTGCAGGAGAATTCCATTTTTTTTACGGGGGGAAGAAATTCATCCTTAATTAATCAGACTTATCAGAGCTCAGAAAGCCTATTGCTCTCGCAAATAACTTTTTTTTTTTCATGATTAGAAAATGCAAAAAATCCCGTGTAATGAAGAGGAGAGGTCAACAAGTGTGTTAAAATTTCTACCGGCTCTTCTGGCTTGTTTGAATGTGATTCAGAATGATATAAAATGCTGGCACAGAAGCATCTCCCCACGTTACCCAGGACTACGGCAGCCTGCAGGGTGTCTGGCCTGGCCGTGGTTCCCTCTGAAGTCCTGTGGCAATGTGGCCCCTTCGAAAGCTGCCCTCCTCTTCCCCGGGAGAGGCTTGGGGGCCTCTGACTTGCTCCCTGAACCCAACGATGCCCTTCCTTCTCTCCCTACCGCCGTGTCCCCAAGCCCTCGCCCTTCTTCCCTGCCCGGCTCTTTCCAGGGAGGTTCTCAGAGGGGTTTCGTCAAACAGATGGGTGCCTTTTCTGACCTCAGTGAGTGCCCACGGGCAGGCAGCACCCCACCCGTCCTCTGGGACCCCGATCACTGGGCCACTTGGATCATTAGAGTTTGATCTGGAATGGGAGCTCCCCGTTTTGCCTTGCGGACAGAAAGGGCCAGGGCATTTCTCCTGGGTCAGGGGGCCCTCCAGGCCCATCCCCGGGCCTCCTCATCATCATCATCATCAAGGGCCTCCCCTTCCCTGGCATGCCACCTTGAAAAAGGGCTTAGAAAAAGGCGAGTTCAGAAAGACATTCAATAAATTTAGGACGCAGCAGATTCTCCTTGGCTGGAAGGAAGTCTTTTCTAGCTTCCAACTTACTTTAATACCAGTCTTTATTTTTACATTGGTTGGTACATCTGGGTAACTAGGCAACAGGCACAATGCCTCCATCTTTAGAGAGTGGGAGGCAGCAGAAGCAGTTCTGTCCTGGAGGGGCAGGGAGAATTGAGCCCAAAATGTATGGCGTGTTGTTACATGAGACATTTAAATGAATTTTGCCCCATTTTATGACCTTTCTTGTTACAGTTGTTAGGTGAGTCACTGCAGTTGTTAAGTGAGTGATACTGTTGCTAAATGAATCTGGCTTCCCCGTTGCTTGTCAGAAGATCACAAAAGGTGATCACGTAATCCTGGGACCGTCATAAATATCAAGACAGTTCCAAAGATCGGAATTTTGATCATCTGACCCTGGGGATGTTGCAATGGTCATAAGTGGGGGAAGTGGTCATAAGTCACGTTTTCCAGTGCTGCTGCAACTTTGAAAGCTCAGTAAATGAACCGTTGTAAATTGAGAAATACAGGATTCCTGTATTTCTAGACTGGAAAGTACTTTTCCCTAAACAAATAAATCCTGGTTTTATTGGAAATGAGTTCTTTTCCAGCTACCAAAACTTTTTACCGATGGATACAGCTCGCACTCCGGGAATTGGTTTGGTAAATGTGGCACCCAAGGCAAAGTTGAGGATTGAGCTCCAGATCTGAAGAGGTCTTCTGTAGAGGTCTACTTGTCAGTAGTATGCCTGGATTGTCTGCTCCACCCCTGAAATGTGGCTTTTGGTGCTTCCTTGCAGCTCCCCAAAGTTGACCATCCGTTTAAAAATGAGTGACGAAACCATCCCCGAGGAGGTCTCCTCTCTCCCTGCTCAGAGTCAACATTACTTTGACCGATTCTCAGAAGACGACCCCGAGTACCTGCGCATCAGGAACATGGCTGCGGACCTGCGCCAAGACTTCAACCTGATGGAGCAGAAGAAAAGAGTCAGCATGATTCTGCAGAGCCCCGTGAGTAGATCCCCTCAGAGGGGTCGCCAGCTGCGGGTGGAGGGTTAAAGCGAGGGCAGAGGACCTTCGCATGGTGGGATTAGCGACCCTTCCTGGAGGGCTGTGTGACCTGCTCAAAGTTAGGATCCGAAGGTCCCTCTTCAGGCTGAATCCCCACGCCTCTGCACTGGGGTCAGGAGCAGTGAAGGAGGGAGCAGAAGAGACGCCCGTCACCCTCCTGGGCTAAATTGCCTGGGCCCAGGGGGGAAGCTGAGGGAACCCCGAGTCCTCGCTCAGCTCTTTGGGCCAGAGGCACAGCTGGTTTCCAGAGCTTCGTACTTGGCTCTCTTCTCTTGCTCTGGGCTAATGGTAACTTCCAGGGCCTCAGCTAAGGTGGTCCAGCAGGAAGCAGAGAAGAGAAGGGGAGGGAGGGAGGGAGGTGGAAATAACTGCTCTTCCTCTTCCTTGGCCCTTCCCGGCTGGTGCAGCTCACAGGGCTTTGCCCTACTTCCTTGGGGTTTTCTTCCAGTGATCTTTCACAGGATTCCTGATGGTTGTGGGGAGCTTTTGGGTGCGGACATTGGATAAGATGCTGGGCGGGACTGCCAACCTTGTGCTTGGCCCAGGGAACTGACGGTGGGTGCTGTGGAAGAGAGGAACTGCAGGGGGTGTAGAGCAGGGCTTGTTGGTAGATCTCCAGAAGGCCTGTAGTAAGATTTTCATCCCAGTCCTGTTTCCAGATGGAAGATTCCTGAAGTTACCAAACAAAATGCGTTTTCCTGCTTATAAGATTTTTATGGAAAATAAGAGATAAGTCATGAAATTTGGGAGGAGAGTTCTAGTGGAGAAGGATGTTTTTGGATCCCCATAAAATTCCATGCTCAAGGCACAGTGATTGCACAGTAAAGGCCTTCACTGGGACACACACACACACACACGCACACACACACACACACACACACACACACACACACACGCGGGGGGGGGGGGGGGGGGGAGAGAGAGAGAGAGGATTGTTTAACAATAAGAACAGGATGGTTTTCTGCCTTCCTTGCAACATCAGCCAGACCAAGAAAGCTTGTGGTCCTAGAGAGAATGTGAGGGGCGTTTCTTCTCGAGGCTGTGGGGGACCCTAAAAGTGCACTGTGGCATCTTAAAAAGACAAACATTCTGACAGCTGTACTTGAAAAGGAAGCCACTGTCACAATTCAGCCTAGCACTGACAGACTTCAGTTACATGGAATTTCAGTGTTTAGTCTTGAGCTCTTCTGTTCAGGAAAGGCCTCTTCCTATCACAGGGGAGCATCTCAGAGTTTCTCTGCCTGATTTTCAAAGGTCCACATGACAAATGCACCTGAATTGTAGCTGCCCTTTGGGCTACCTGGAGAGTTATTCTGTGGTGTCTTCAGTCTTTTAGGGAGGAGCTGGAGAGTCTCATCCAAGAGCAGATGAAGAAAGGAAACAACTCCAACATCTGGGCCCTTCAGCAGATAGCCGAGCTGATGGCCACCACGGCTCCCTCCGTCTTTCCTCCGTCGCCCTTGAGTACGTTGGTCTCCCATCCAGGGTCTCTGGGTCAAGTTTCTGAGCAAGTAGTCCTCCTCCTCCTCCTCTCCCCCCTCCCCCTCCTCCGCCACCCTTTCCCCCGACGTTGGCTGAGCTCCATGCCATTCCCCCACCTGGCCTCCCCTGCCCACTTTCTTGAGAATGGCTTGTGTGGATGTCTACGGCTGGGTTGCTCTTCCTAGAGTTTAATTTCGCTAATTCCTGGATTTTATACCCAGATCTCCCCTGGGCCTCCAGTCCTGTACAGAGGGATGTACAGGGCTGACAACCCCCTCCCCCCTTGGTGGCTGTCTATTCTTTGAACGTCTAGTAGATTGTGGGGTGCAGTGATGCCATCAGTCAACAGGGGTCCCCGCTCTGTGCTACACAACCCTCTACTGGCTTGTGCTGTAAGTGGCAGCCTCTCCTGCTGCAGTCGCCTTCTTTGCCAGATGCACGCTGCTAATCGGGTTATGTGGCAGAAGCTGGTGTGCTCACCAGGGAATTCTGGGAGTTGGAAGTCCACACATCTTAAAAGTTGCCAAGATTGAGAAATGTTTCCTTACACTGTAAAGAAATAGACTGTTTGAAAATTTATCTTTGACAAAAGGAAAAAATGTTAAGCCACTGCTTATGCTCTCTGAACAGCCTGCGTTTTGCAAGCATCTGCAAAAGGATTGGTTGCATCTCTGTTCTAAACTTTGAAGCAAGGACAGGAGAGAAAGAAGGGTGCATTTCCTTAGCGACAATGGAGGAAGAAGCCCACTGAGTTAGTGGTCCAGCCCCAAAGCCTCCTCATGCTGCTCAGCTCCATTTTCTGGCAACTCTATCCCTTCTTTTGCAGACCTTTCCACGGTGACCCCCATCAATGACCTCCATAGCACGGATTCTGTGTCCCTGGCCAAAGGGGAGCGGCTCATGCGCTGCAAAGTTGGCAGTGTCTATCGGCTGCTGGACCTTTATGGCTGGGCACAGCTCAGTGGCACCACAGTCACGGTGAGTCATGCCGTCCTCCTCTCTCCTGGCCAGCCTTTGTTACAGACAGAAATACAGCTGGGTTTCTTTCAGTAACTTTTTTTAACGAGATTGCACTTTAGGCTTAAAGGAAGCAATTGTCTTTTAGAAGGGCCTAAGATCCTCTGCAATCTGGGTCCTCATTTTACCGACCTCCGAAGGATGGAAGGCCAAGTCAACCTTGAGCCTGGTGAGATTCGAACTGCCGAACTTCTGGCAATTGGCAGTCAGCAGAATTAGCCTGCAAAACTGCCTTCTAACCACTGCAGTGGAATGAACAGATAATTTGTTGGGGATCCTTCATGAGTCTTTGGGCAGAGCGTGGAGAATCATGTTTGAGCTACAGACCAGCCAGTGACTGAGCTGCTGTTGGCTGCTTATTTGATACTTTCCTTTGATACCCTTGAGGTAGGATTGTTGGGGGCAAGAGGCTGACTCTTATATACCGCTTAGAGAGGGCTGTAAAGCACTGTGAAGCGGTATCTAAGTCTAAGTGCTATTGCTATCAGGCTAGAGGGGCAGAAGCCTGCAGTCACTTAACCGTCATCAAAAGCAACTGGGAGAGGACTCTTCCCTCATGGCTCAGGCTGTTCAAAGTGGCGAGTGGAAGGTTTGTACTTTCAGACTTGCAAGATTCTGCTTATGCAGCCTTAAATAAAGTAGAATCCTGTTGGCTTTAACTGGGAGGGCTGGCAAAGCCAGAAGCATCCACTCGACCCAGTCATGCTAGAAAGGCAGAGACCGTTGGAGACGGGCAGCCCTTCAAACCACCTGGGCATAAGGAGAAGTGCCCATTCATGTCCCGGCTGCTCCATTTTATTTATTTATTTATTTATTTATTTTGAACCAACTGTGGCTTCCAGACAGTCTTCAAGGGCACCTCCATGTAGAGTGTGTTGCAGTAGTCATGAGGTTACCAGAGTCTGTTTGAATAACAATAATTTTTACTTCTTCTTCCCCTCCCTTATTTACAGTTTTGATTTTAATTATGTTATGTGGACATAATTGATTAATTATGATTAATTGATGGCATGTTTTTATTGGATTGTGAATTGTGTTGAATCTTCATTAGTTCTGCAGTATGCAAATTGAATGCACAAATCTCTTGGAATAACCAATTCCTGGAAGTTCTGGGGATTAATGGCTTTTAGCCTTGAGGGCAGGGGAGTTGCCTCCAAAGCTGTCTGCGGGGAGATTGGTGGGCTTCCTTTGGCGATTGGCCGGCCAGTGTCAGAACTGCTGGACAAAACGGTCTAGGGATCCCATCCAGCAGGGCGCTGCTTATGTTCTTAACCAATGAATGAATGAAGGAGAAATTAACTCTTCCTTCCTTTCACAGCTGAGAGTCAGCAAAGAACAGGAACATTTCCTGGTTTGTCCCGAAGGCCTTTCCTGTCATGAAGTTACAGCATCCAGCTTGGTGAGAATGCAAAACTCTTGGGTCGAACTCTGTTCCTGCGACGGCAGGTTGGAGCTTTGCAACCGTATATAAACTCCATGAGCAGAGACTCCGCCAATCCTGGGAGCTGGGTGGGATATAAGAAAGTTAAAATAAAACACAGAGAAAATAATGGAAAGGGACTTGCCTGCTGAGGCAAGAAGAGGCATCATCTTCCTACAGAGGAGCCATGAGGAGGGGGCCTAAGGGGGCATTTTTCTGCAGTCGTATCTCTAACTGAGAGGGAGCGGGCAGACCCAGAGGTGCAGGGGTAGCCTCTGCTGAAGTAGAGGAGCTCCGCTTTGCATGGAGACACATGCTGGGTACACCAAAAATTGTTGAAGGCCAGCAAGCCCAGAGGGGTGGCACATCCAGAGAGGCCACGGGCTGGTTTTTCTGTAAGCTTGAGAAGAGTTTAGGATCCCGGGATCTTTTCCCCACCTTAGACATCACTGCTTCCCTTCCCCACTGATGGAAGAAAGCTTCTCTGGAGACGTCAGCCGAGGCAGGTGCCCATCTTCTCATTGGATGTCCCACCCCTCCCCTTTTCCTTCACAGATTAAAGTGAACATCCTGGGGAAGGTGGTGGAGCAAGGCAGCACCAGCTTTCCAGTGGACCCCCAAGGATTCAGCCTGCACTCGGCCATCTATGCGGCTCGGCCTGATGTGAGATGCATCATCCATCTGCACACACCAGCCACAACCGCAGTAAGGGCGGGGATGGGGACAGGACGGGTGTCCATCTATCTAGCAGAATGCTGAGATATGGCAAACAGAGCTTCAGGTTGATGGATGGACGAGGCAGGCATCTTCTCAGAGATGCCTTCCCCCACACATCCCATTTCCATTCACCTCTGGACTCCTCCAGCCCTCTGGATGCCACTCTCACAGTTGTGTCAAAGCATTGTCATGCATTATGTTACACCGTACCTGTTTTGTGCGGGTTGAGTGAGCTGGGATAGTTGGCAAATGTTAAGCAAACCAGAGGTAATCCAGCGTGCGAAGCTAGACGTTGATGTCGCCCCAGAGCTGGCCTAGAAATGCTTTGCAGGGGGTGCCCTACGCAGCCTCTGGAGGGAAAGGAGTAACCGGAGCACCTGTGACGTCACCAAGCAAGGAACCCGGAAGGGAGACAGGTTGAGAATCCGGAAGCGAGGAGAAGCCCTCTGGAAAGGAGCCATTAAGAGTGGGATATTGAGGGGACTTGAAGGCCACTTGCTTTTGCTCTCCTTCCAACATGAAGCCGTCATGGTGTGCTTAGGAAAGGAGGCATCCCTCGCTGGCCCATGTCTGTAGGCTGGCTTCTCTTAGTTAGCTGCCCTCCAGGTATGGCGGGTTTACAACTCCATGTCAGTTTGATCAACGGTTCTGCTTGCATCTTGCAGAATATTATAACGTAAAACAAGGATGACAATTTCATTCTAGATAGTTTTCTGTTTGAACTGGAAATGCCTTCAGAGCACGTAGAGAGGTTTTTATGCGTAGCTAAAACAGGGAAATCTTTCCTTTCCTTCCTTCACAGGTCTCCGCAATGAAGCAAGGTCTCTTGCCAATTTCCCACGATGCGCTGCTGGCAGGTGACATGGTGTATTTTGACTTCAATGGTGAAATGGAGGGAGAGGCAGACAGAATTGAGTTGCAGAAATGTCTTGGACCCACCTGCAAGGTTAGGCCTGGGAGGTGTGGTTTGAGTTCTGATGTAATCTTGGATTTCAACTAAATCTCTGCCCAAACTGGGATTTATACTTCCTTGCATTAGAACACGAGGGAGGTTTGGAATCGAGGAGAACTCACAGCGCAGATAAAGATTTCGTGTTCTTTAGCTGTTTATATCAGAACCTGAGTCTTGCTGTTTCTTTGGGCAGGTTTTAGTCCTCCGGAATCATGGCCTCGTGACCCTGGGAGACACCGTGGAAGAGGCGTTCTACAAGGTCTTCCATCTGCAGGCGGCCTGTGAAGTCCAGGTGAGCTCCAGAACCACAAAACAAGGCGCCTGCCTTCTGCCTTGCTTTGCGTCACAGAAGGAAATCTCCCATCCAGAAGGAGATGCCTGCAAAAATAATATTCCTCCATGGAATTTTTTTCTTCCTCTCTCCCTTCTCCTTAGCATGTAAAAACACTATTGAGGAGAGGGTAGATTTGTGTCAATTAGTTGTGAGAAACGTTTTCCTAATATGCTGTTTTTGGTGACATTTTTATCTTGATGATAACTTGCAATTCCCCTAGAATCAAGTCACCTTGCTCAAGCGTGGATTTCCCTTGTCATACATGACAGGATTGTCCTTCCTTCCCTCCTTCCTTCCTTCCTTCCTTCCTCCCTCCCTCCCTCCCTCCCTCCCTCCCTCCCTCCCTCCCTCCCACACATAACTTCAAACTATCTCAAATAAGAAATCTATCTGGTGCCGGTTGAACAGTGGTTTAATTAATAATAGCCTCTCAACGTCTCTTTTGTCACCTGCCTCCTCCAGGTTGCTGCCTTGTCTAGCGCTGGTGGACCTGAGCATCTCATCCTCCTGGAGGGGGAGAAACAAAGGCCTCACGATGTGGGTCTGGTCCGATGGGCTGGCAGCACCTTTGGGCCCATGCAGAAGAGCCGCCTGGGAGAGCATGAATTTGAAGCACTAATGAGGATGCTGGACAATCTAGTAGGTTTGCGAGTGGAGAAGCTCCCCACAATGTGTCCCCTGACCTTGTCATAAAATTGGCTTTCCTCCAGGTAGATATTTGTAAACCAAAGTGGGTCCTTGGAGGGAAAGAGGCAAGCTTGAGCAGGCGGGTTTTGCAGTGCTTCTCCTGGCCCATCAGACATGGACTCCTTAAAAAAAAGAGCTGAGCCATTGAGGGACCACGTTAAACACACAATCTCTACACGGAGCACCCTTGGTAGATTATTGCTGTCTTCACTTCAAGGCTCTGTGTGGTCTTCCAGGATCTCTATGAAGTTTCAGAGCCCTTTTTCTTTTCAGAATTGAAAGAGTTTTGCAAGACAAAATAGGTCAAAATAGGTGTAGGTAGTCCTCATTGTGGCTTTAATTGGGACCTGCAGCTCTACCATTAAACAAATCAGTTGCTAAATAGGAAATCACATTCCTGCAAGTGTGCTTTCCTTTTCCTCCATTCCCCTGGCTTTTGGAATGCGACCCTGGTGCTGGGGTCATTAATAAGAAGGAAATGAATGTTTGTATTTACATTTGGAAAGGAAAGGAAGGGATTACAAGAGAGTAAGCAAGCACACAATGGGAAATAGACATAGAAAGGAACATGCTTGTGCTGGCAACAGGACAATGCATACTGACTGTAATGGTGATCATATGACTGAGGGACACTGCAGAGGTGCTAAATGTGGGCATTGGTCATAAAGTTATGTTTTCGGAAATGTCGCACGCACATACAAACACACAGGTGTGTATGTGTAGAATCCGAACCCAAGAATGTTTACAAAACGAGGCACTTCAGGGTTTTGAGTCCCATTCCAGATGCTAGAATTTGCAAGAGCTGGATCCCAGGCAGATGTGCGGAAGGCAGGCAGGCTGTTGGTAGGAGCAGTGATGTGCAGTTTCTTCTTTCCCCCTCCCAGGGCTACCGGACTGGCTATGCTTACCGTTACCCATTTGTCCAGGAGAAGACGAAGCACAAGAGTGAGGTGGAGATCCCGGCCACCGTCACCGCCTTCGTCTTCGAGGAGGAGGCAGGGCCCATCTCCACCCTCCGGCAACACGCCCAGAAACAACAGAAAGAAAAGACCCGCTGGCTGAACACGCCCAACACCTACCTGCGCGTGAAGGTGGCTGAGGACAGCCAAGGCGGCACCAGCGGCCAGAGAACCAAAGCCACGGTTAGAAGAGAGTGGGCACCTTCTTGCCCTGTGCACAAAGCAGGGAAGGATAGCCGAGGAAGGACAACCATCCTGTTGGTGACTGTATAAATTGGGGGCAGCCGGACTGTTGGTTCCCCTTGCATGAGTAGATTTAGGAGCGGTGCAGCAGAGCAGATTGGCAAAATACCCAGGAATGTGGGAACCAGGAAGGCAAAAAGCCAGCAGTGATGATAGAGCTTCCAGCATGGCAGCAATTGGCTGTGGGGAAGAAGTCTGTGAGTGAGTGAGTGAGAATTCAGACACAGGAGAGTCAGAGGCTGCTCCATGGGGGCTACAGAGGAGGAGGCCTCCCCACCCCCCGGGGACCAGAGAAGCTGGATAGAAAGATTGGCTGGCAGTTCCTGCCTTGACTAAACTATGCAAACGAAAAGGTGGCATTCTCCTACTGCAGTTACAAATGCAGTCACAGAACCCGCCTTCTTTTCAAAACATTTAGCAAAAGTTGTGTTTCGGACTAGCTTTGACCTGATCTCCACACTGTGCTAGTTGCCTGACCACATTAAGCAGCCCTGAGCATTGTCTGGGTGGCTAAAGGAAGCCAGGTGCCCCCTTCCCTTCCTTCTCAAGCTCCACCGCCCTCCCTTTCCTGGGGAGCAGAGCAGAGGCAGCCACTGAGGGTTGCTGGGTCGGCTCCTTCGTAGGACGAAGGCAAAAGCTGACTCAACTGGCTTGCTCTCCAAACTCCGGGCTCCTAAGTGGAATCTCACGGCTGCTCCAGGGAGGCCCTTCGCCTTTCTTCAGCCAGCCCTTGTTTTGTTTTCCCCACACCGTCTAGTGGATGAAAGCGGACGACGTGGAGAAATCCAGCAGTGGCATGCCAATCCGAATTGAAAACCCCAACCAATTTGTGCCTCTCTATACAGACCCTCAAGAAGTCCTGGAAATGAGGAACAAGGTACATGAAGGTTTGGCTCCTCCGGTTGCTGTCTGAAAGGGCCCTTCCTGGGGTCTCTGCTCCGGAGCCGGCTGGCTTCAGCTCCACTCAGGGCTTCCTGGAAAGAGGAGAGACTGGGTGAAGGGGCAGGTCAATTGCTGGTGTTATAGAGGTGAGGTCTGTGCCCCGTCCCTCCCACGGCCATGAAGGCCACCAGGTGGCTTGATTGCTCTCGGGGTCCACGTGACTTTGGTGGCTCTGTGGGAGGAAGAACCAACCAGCCTTTCTGAGCTCCTGACAAGTAGAGCAAAGGAACCCATTGAGCTCATGCCCAGCATTACCTGCTGAGAGGCGGCCTTTATGAAACACATTGACAAGCTAAATGTGCCACCCGATTTTGGCATGTGCATCACAGTCAAGCATGTCTCCTGCTTCGGACTGGCAGCTCTCCAAGGCCCCTTCCAGCCCTGGAATTCGCTGTTCGGTTTTGCGGTTTTTCAAGTAAGGGCTGTTCCCGCTCAGCTTCTCCCCCATGACGGGCCCATCTATCTCCCTGCAGATCCGAGAACAGAACCGCCAGGAGGTGAAATCGGCCGGACCCCAGTCCCAGCTGCTGGCCAGCGTGATCGCAGAGCAGAGCAGGAGCCCGGTAGGCATCGCAAGCTGGCGCTGGCATTGGGGCCACCGGGCTTGGTGGTTCCTCCCAGCCTGTGCTGCTCCCTCACAGCCCTCTTCAGCCCCAGCCGTGGGGAGCAGAGGCCGCGAACATCCCAGACAAGCTGGAGGGGAAGCTCCGCCCTCGGCTCTGGGTCCAAGAGGGGGAGCCTGCCCCACACACCTTCCTCACACCAGCCGGACAAGGCTGGAAGGTGTGAGAGGCATTTCCCAGGCCTCTCAGCCCCTGCTTCCCACTCCCTCTGCTGGCTCTGTGACAAGAGTTGCACTAATATTAAAGAAGTAGTGGAATAGAATCATTAAAGGATGCAAAAGGAGGGACAGAATGAAATGTGAATGACAAAAATTATTTTTTAAAATTTATTTTAAATAATTAAATAGAATTGTTAAATTGTCCCACAGTGAGTTGGCCGTGGCGAGTTGGCCTGTTCCACCGTCTGCTGCCCCCTCATTTCCCAAAAGACGGGCCTGGCGCTGTTCGCGCTGAACTCCATTTTCATCCTTGTAATTAGACTCACAAGCCCTATTTTTTTTAAATTTAGCAGGCCTCATTTGTGAACACTTGCCTTGCCCAACCTCTGTGCTGAATCCAGTCATTACACACACACACACACACACACACACACACACACACACACACACACAGGGAGGGAAGGAGAGGGAGAGACACAACTGTGGTAGCGCTGTTGTGAGAAGAGCTCACTGCAAATATGCTGTTGTGCTGTCTTTCCAGCATTGCAAGTGGCAGAGGATTTTTAACAGCAACAAAGAAGGATGCCATGACAGGGGGGTCTTTTCCGCATAACGCCCCTTTTTTTCAAAGTTTCCAGGGAGCATCAGCCAACTGCCAGTGTGGAGGGCCATGTGCCAGCAACCTATCAGATGGGAAGAAATGGGTTTTGACTCCTTCCCCATGGGGCAGTAGGGCAGGCAGAAATGTGGGGTGGCTCATAAAGTTCCCTGCCAACTTTCAGAATTTGAAATTGGTCAAAGCGAGGGAAGGTGGGGCTCAAGGCGCTTGCTGCTTTTGGATGAATGGCAAAAAGAGTGTTGCAGGGGTACCTTGCAGCCCTCAGGTCTTTCACATGCACAGGCCGTGTCATGGCACGTGTGCAAAAGGGATAAAGGCTCCTCTGCATTGCTGTTTTCATCATTGTGTGTGCACAACCATCCAGCCACAAGAATGCATCACAGATGCTCTTAGAAAGTTGGTTTCAAACTCAGTTGTGGGGAGTTGTGGCATGAAAACTGCCAGGGGATAGTTATGCATGACTTCTGTATTGTTGCAGTCCACCGAGAGTCATTTGGCCGATGGAGAGATGAAGGATGACTCCGGCATGGAGGCCTCTCTTGAGCCCGAGCCCCCCAACCCCTTCAGCCAGCTAACCGATCAGGAACTGGAGGAGTACAAGAAAGAAGTGGAAAGGAAGAAGCTGGGTCTGGACGGTAAATGTCCTGGGGCGGTCATTGCTACTGAGGCTGCAGGCTTCAGAAGCCTGAAGGACTGCAATGAACGCAGGAAGGGACAGCTGAACTCACCACTGGCTCAGAGAAACCAGGGAACATTTTTAGGGTGTCCAAAAAGTTGGTGGGTAGAAACACGGGAGAAACGACTGTTGCTCCACTGTCTTTGTTTCCAGTCTGAGTTGCACTTCCTTCTTCTCTTCTGCCATCTCCTCCCAGGTGAAAAGAAGGACAGTGGTCCAGAGGAGGAAGTGATGTCCCCTGAAGAATCCACTGTCAGTCCTGAACAGAGCCCCACAAAGCCTGGGGCAAGGAGCCCTGCCAGGTCTCCCTCCAAAGCTCCGGAAGGTAGGGGCACCTTTGCAGCCAAAACATCCGGGAATCATCATGATTTCTAGAACGATTTGCCCAGTTATCTTGTCCTTCAAAATAAATTTTGAAAACTAATTCCTTACTCAGACTGAATTAGAACTGGCGATAGAAGATTGAGACTTTTTCTGATGGCCATTGCCCATCCAAAGAAGGAAAGATTGGGGAGGCCATTGGCCAGGAACTCTGCATTTCCCTCCTCTTGGGGTTGGACCTGTGACCCTAGAAAGTCCTGCTCTGTGTGGCTCCTTTAGGTGGGAGGAGGAGTTGTGCTAGTGTATGTGTGTGTCTCTCTCTCTGTCTCTCCCTTCCTCTTTGCCATTGTCTCATTCTGCCCCATTGTGTTTGGCGTGTTTGTCTCCACAATGTCTCCCTTTCTCTTTCCATGTGTTGCTTTCATCCAAGGAGTTGCCTCTGGTTCTGAATACTTGTCACTTTAGTAAGTATAGAGAGGCTGCTTTCTCCCTTTCCAGCTACCCCCCGGGGAGGGAGGGGATGCGCTGGGCCGAGCAAGGCCATGTGTGGTTGGAGCAGTAAAGGCTCTGTGGGAAGACATAGAGTGGGGGGCATGTTGATCACAGGAAGTGACTTAGCTTGGCATGCAGGAAGCTTGCAAAAGGTTTGGGGGGAGGACGGCCTTAGATGTTCTGGAAATCTACACAAGAGGAAGGAGTTAGTACCCAATGAACTCCTGTCACATTTCCCAGCACAAATCCTCCAGGAGGTTGAGTGGGCAACTTCTAGAATTTCCAGTTAACCCGATTGAAGTCCTCAAACATCTGGAAGACACCAGGTTAAGGAAAATTGATCTGATAGTCCCCTCTTGGTTACTCTTCCTGTAAGAACCTGTTACTCGATGGGTGTAATCCAACACCCTGTAATTATGGGTGTTTTTTCCAGATGTTTCTTTTCCTTTAAAAAAATTGCTGATGCAGTTCCATGACTATTGGAGGGAGAAGGAACCAGCTTCAGGGGCTCCCCAGTTCACAGACACCTGGGACAGCAGCTATCCTTCCATTGTTCTATCCTGGGCATCACCAAACCTCAGAGCCAGTGGAAGGCCTGTCAAGATAGTTTCCTTCCTAAATTGAGTCTGACGTAGAGGGGGAGATACATTGTGCAAGCTTCCTGAATGTTTGCAGTGTGCATCATTGCTCTGTGGGCCATCGATAATCCATAGCACATGTCTGTAGTCCTAGGTAGAAACCGGTTAATATTCCTTAGCTCTGAGGCTCCAAGTGTAGCAGCCCCAGTTAAGATCTCGCATCTGCTGGCACCCGAGCAGATGGCTCCAGGCAAAGTGGCCTTTCAGCCCCCATTAACAGTGGGATATTCACCTGCTTATCAGGTATGCTGATCCGGTAAACCTACAGCAGCATGAACCCATGCACAGCTTGAGGCCTCAAGAATGCATAATGGCATTCCCCCCCTTCTCCCCTCCCCCCCCCCAAACTATGGGCATAGCAAAAATGGCTGTTTTTGTAATGTTTCATGACAGAATGAGATGTTTATGATGGAAGCTTTCACTGGGTTTGATTTAAAATTTAAATCACTTCTAGTTTGCGATCTAGGTGCTACTTAATTCACAGTCCTGTATGCCCATTTTGGAAATGCAGCCTCCCATCAAGCCCTCAAAACCAAATCCTGCCCTCCCCAGGAAGGAAGGGATTCTGTAGGCAGAAAGGCTGAAAATGTCAGCAATCAGCTGCGTCCCACCCAGGGCGGTTCCATAAACGGCAAGAATAAAGAGGGGGGCTAAAAAGAGGCTCAGCTTCATCCGCCAGAAGCCTCCGCAGCCTCAAGAGGCCACGTGGGGCTTTCATGGTGTGTGAGTGTCCAGCAGGATTTCAACCCCCGGAGGGAGTTTGGCCTTTCTCTCCCGCCACACACAACCCAATTGGAACAGTAAGGGCCCTGGCGGGCTTCTCGATTCTGGTCCTGCTATCCAGAAGGTTGGTTGATGCCTCTCTTTGGCCCCCAAGAGCCCCCCTATCATTATGCTGGACTCTTTTCCCATCACCCATGGAGTGGGAAGGGCGTTGTGCGGCCCACTCCAAGGGCGCCAGCTTGGGGAGGCTGGTTTTGTATTTCATCCCCCTGCTCCTCCAGACCAGCGCTGCCCATGGGTCAGTGGGGATTGGAGCCCTGCGCCTTTTTGCGTGTGTTTGTGCAGGGCAGACGCCATCGTGACTTTAAAGAACAAAACAACCCCACCCCCACCCCACCCCACGTAGTTGTCCCTGCTGCAGGCCTAGCTTTTCCCATCCCCTTCACGCTCTTAGCAAGCCTGCCAGAGGCCCAGAGTGACAAGGATCTGGTTGGCATCTCCCGCCTCAGCCTTTGGGGCTTGCAGGGCCAGGTTCTCGGTGCTGAGCTCCTCGGGGCAAAGGCTCAGCACTCCTTTCTGTCTCTTTTCAAGGCGGGAAGAAGCCGGGCAGCAGCCAGGGGCCTGCTGATGCTGCCGCAGCCGACAGGGCAGAGCCGGAGGCGGTGGAGGTCAACGGGAAAGAGGAGGAACAAACAGTTGAAGAGCACCTCAGCAAAGGGATCAGCCAGCTGACCACCAATGCAGACACCACCGAGGGCCCAAAGGACAAAACCGAGTCGGTCACCAGTGGGCCTGTGAGCCCCGAAGGTTCCCCTTCCAAGTCTCCCTCCAAGAAGAAGAAGAAATTCCGGGCCCCCTCCTTTCTGAAGAAAAGCAAAAAGAAGGAGAAGGCAGAATCCTGAGGTCCTCCCTTTCCCCAAGCACACACGCCGCCTCTTCTTCTCTCCTCTTCTCCCCTTCCTCCTCTTGCCTTCTGCTGCCCCCTCCGATCTCGCTGCGACATCATGAGGATAACAGGGGAAGCTTCCCCGGCAATGGTCCATCTTTTAAAAATGTCCCAAAGAGGAGCCCGGCTTGGAATGGTACTCCTCTCGGAGCTGTCTTGTGGAGCCCTTGGGGAAGACAAGAAGCACCCTCTTTCACCCGTGTCCGTGGTCCACAGGTGCAACCACACTGGAGAGAAATCTGCAGGCATCTTGAGTTCCGTGTGGGAGGGAGAGGGTGCATTTCACATACCCATCAGCCACTTCTAGCCTGTTGCTCTTGCACAAAGGCGGGAAGCCGTGGAGTGCCGCCCTAGGGCTACTCGAAGGCCCGTGGGTGGCCCTGAAGCAGGAGGGGGCTTGCACCCGTGGGGGGCAGGGGGGCTTTTTACACAACAAGTGTAAGTGGCCACATCTTCCCTGAGGAAAGTTGCTCTGAACTTCAGAAGCAGAATGAAGCTTGCACTGCAGCTGCAGCTGCCAGAGAAACCTAATATTTATTGTGGGGTAAACTGACCAGGAGGCCTTCTAGCACCCCCAGCCTCCTTTACCTGCAACAGGGTGACCCCAAAGGCCTTTGGAGAATCAGGTGGGTACTGTGGGGCAGCACACCCAGAGACAGGGGGCAGCGAGCAGTTGTCATCCTGGGCGGTTGCAGGAATGGTGCAATCTTCCAGAGACCTCCTCTGAGGAGCCCCCCTGAAACCACGGATAGAAGCAAATCTGGGTGAGTGAATGAGGTGTGAAAAGGGAACGCAGGGGGTTCCATGAGTGCTGGGGACACACCGCTTGGGTGCCTGCACCAAGTGTCTTGAGTTGGGGCAGATTCTGAATTGCATCGATGAGCATCCCAACTTCTCATCTACAACGGGGAAAAGAGGGCAGGTGTGATACAAAACCATTAGAAGGTGCCAGATTAGGCAGCAGTTGGTCTGTAAATTCTTTGCTTCTCAGCCAATTTTTGAGATTGAAAAGTTCCCTCTCAGGTAGACTGCTGAGTCTCTTCTGACCTGCTATCAAAAGGGAAATATGGAACCCCATTCTGGAGTGGTCTCAGGTGGGTCAGAAATCTGGAGTTCACCTCACCTGCATCGCATCCAGCTATTATTCCATGTCAGTCACGTAAGTCCTACTGTTTCCATTGGGAACATCAAGAGCAAAGAACACACATGCACGCACATAGTTGCCCACATGCACACACACTGCCAATAATAACTTGTGCAATGACTACTACTGAAATTGCAATGGATTAAGCTTGTAAAAGTAATTTCTCACTGCACTGTTAAGGAATATTGTTATGCGTAAATTATTTACTGAAGTGATAAAGTTTGCTGCGATTGCATTCTGCTTTAAAGAAAATGTATTCCGAGAAAATGTATTCCGTGCAGAAATGGGCTTTTGCTGCTCCCAAGAGAAGCAATGTGGTGTCTAGCATGGCTCATAAGCACTCGGCTGGGATAGAGAAGAAGAGTTTTACTTCCCTTTGTACGTCTGGTGGTGCCAGCTAGCAAAACCAGCCTCTGGTCTTGAGGTGTCAGAAAGATCGTCCTTGAAAAGTGCCCAAAATCTTTGTGTAGCCTTCATTTCCTTCGCCAACCTTTCTGCCCCATCATAGACAAAGGCTGGGCTTCAGCCCCCTCCCCCACCATTTTCCTTTCCCTTCTATTTCAAAAGGACAAAGAGGCATTAAGATCTTGCAGGATCCCAAACTTGTGTGGCAGGAGTTCAACCTCCCATTTTGCTCTGTTTCTTCCTCTAAAACAAGGCGAGGGAGGGAGCCTGAGAAATTTATGGGCATACTCGGTGCCATAAGCAGATTGACTTCTTCAAATGGGGATTTTGGGGTCGAGCAGCCTTTTGAGAAAAAGTCAGATTGTTGCAGACCCTAATTGCTCACATCCAGACCGGCTGCAGGAAGAAAACTCCATGGGAAAAACGGAAGAAAAGATTCCCCTCTCCAGGGCCCTGAAAGCTGTATGGCTCTAATTTAAATTGACCTGTTGGAAGCAGCTTTTCAACTCTTTAAAAATAAGGGTTTTTTCCCTAGAAACTCCTAAGAGTAACCTCCCCTCCCCTTGCTTGCAAGTACTTCTGACAAAGCGGTTGAACTATTTGCAGGCTAGGAGCAGCCTGTCACGCTGACAACTGCAGTTCCAGAAACGGTCCATCTAGAACTGGCTCATGGCAGGACTTGAAATAACAGGCTGAAGACAAGGCGGCCAGCCTTCTGCTTGCAGATACCTTATTCCAAGGTGCTAAAAAAAAATAAAATAAAAACATTACCGCTTAGCGTCTTAAAGTGGAAATTAGCATCATCTGGGGAGGGGGGAAACCTTTGCTCTATTGGAACAAATTGTGCCATTCCTGTTCTTGTAATAAGGAGCTTTAAATGTTTCCCACAACAGCTTCTATTTCCCCAGAGAATGTGGGAGACGAACAGCCCCCAGCAACATGAAGCAGGTTTTACAGAACGCCTTTTAGGCCTTGTAGTTGGAATAGCAGCTGAAGATTTAAAATGACCAAAAGAAAAGCGGGGGTGGATACAACAGAAAGAGCTACTTTTGCAGCTTCCATTGCCACAAGATCAGGTCCAGGCAGCAGCAGACGGGAACCTCCATGCAAAGCGATTTCTCCTGAGAGCCGAAGACAGAAAAGGGAGAAACCAGCAGCTCCTTTGAGCTGGTCGTGGGGCATTTGGCCGAGCGATGCTACGAGTGAGAGGGCAGCCCCCTTGAACCCAATTCAGCAAGGCATTTTTCATATGTTCTCATACGATGGGGTTGACTTACCGGTACCTAAAAACGTACAAATTGCAAGCACAGGGAGAGGATGTCCTGAGATCCACCCTGCGATAAAATATAGGGCAGCTTAGCTCTCAAGGTTAGGTTCTGCATCCTAGAAGGGAGCTAGTTCACGTGGCAGGCAAAGATGTTGGGTTGCTCCTTTTGTGTATGTGCTTGTGGAAATGCATTCAAGGATGCTTAATACCCTTTGGTGGTAAAATAGTCAAGCCGCCTTCTGCTTGAACTCGATGGAAAGGCAACTTTTCCTTGTACTTCAAAGTTCAAATTGGCGCTTTGCAAAGAGCTGCTCATTTCTCTTGTAACAAGGACCAAATTCCCTTTTGTCAATAGGAAATTGAGAAGTAAATAATTCAGAATATGCAAAGTAAACAGCTGGAGATGTTTAGCAAAATATAAAAATATCTCTGTATTTGGTGCTTCCACAGACCAGCCAATTCTGTTAAGCCATTTAATGATAGGCATGTCCAGAGAACCCACCTAGGAAGGGGCCGAGGGGGATTTGAGTTGCCCCCCTCTGTATGTTCCTTTCTGAGCTGTTGCTTCTGGCCAGCTCTGCAGTTTGAAGAGGAGCTGCTGCTTGGTCCATGAAGCAGTTTGGATCCCAAGAGTCAAACTCCATTAAAAGAAATGGGCATAAGTGGAGAACTCATTACAGTTATTAAGCAGGTATTTAAATCAAACGGCACCTTCCTTCCTTCCTGATTTTGTTACTTCAATGGCATGCCAAAGGCTGAAACAACTGAGGCAATTGATTCTGAGTTTGTGTGTCAGTACAGCAGCTGAACAAATGCTATCAACCCCACCACCACTCCATCCGACAAAGAACATGTGAAATAGCAAGAGAGAACATCAGACTAGCCTAACTCTTAGGAACTCCGTCTCAGGTGTTCTTGGAAAACGACCTGGGGCTCTGGCACAGTCTTTGGTCTCGTCATTCAGCTGAAGCAAAACAGTTCACTGAAAACAGAAAAACGGCACATACACCAAATAAATAAATGAAGTACTTGCTGAATTGTCCACTGGCAATTAGAGGGATCAAGACTGTTTGGATTTTCTGACCTGGGCGCCACCATCTCTTGGATAATTCAAGTCTGTACCTCTTGGCAGCAGCGATCTATTCATTCGGCCATTGAATTAACCCCACGAACAAGGAAGGCCTTTTTTATCATGTATCCCATTATTAAGTGGTGGTAAAGTGGATGCTGCAAAAATGCAAAATCTTAAAATGCACTTTTTTTCCTGAGAGCTGACCACAACAAACGTCCTGGCAATTGCTTGGCAACATAGTTGAGTCTGGTGGCGTTTGCAGAGGTCAGTGGAGTCCAAGGCCCAGGGGTGAAGGTTTTGTAGGAAGGACTCCTTGTCCTTTCAGAGGTTCAAAATGGAGGGGGGGTGCAGGGGGAACTGTTGTCTGAATGCTCTCAGCAGCTCTGCGAGAGGTTCCACTCTCCTCTAAGGGGGTTTGGGGAGCCAGGGCTGCCTGGGGCTAATGGAACAGCTAAGGTAAGCTAAGGTGCTAGGGGAGTTGAACCAGCTGAGGGGAGGCTTGTTTTCTGTCTGGTTAGGTAGCAGGCTTTTGCCGCACATGGGCTCTAAGAAACACAGGAGAGATGGAAAGATGGTGGGGAGATTAAAATCTTAGAGATAATCACATTAAGTCTTATTCATAGCCAAATGGAAACTCCTCTCTGTGTAAAACCTCTGTTTTAGACCTTGGATCTTTCCCTTATTTTTAGCCACTCATTTTGATGGAGTCATTTCTCTCAACTACATGTTGGATGTCAGTTCCATTTTTTGCATATTTTCTCAAAGCAAAAAATCTGGCTAAATAGTCAAATGTTCCTTATAATATCTGGATTTTTTTTTAATCCTATTAGATACCCTTCTTCAAGCTTCATCTACACTAAATGGGTTCCTGATGGATTATAGCCCTTTGAAAATAACAAGCAAGTAAATGTGTAATTAAATACCAACCGCCTCTCCTTTCCCTCTATAGGACTTGTAAGAGAGGTATTTAAGTTAGAGAAAAAGACTCCTCACCATATAATTACATGTCAATTTAGCAGTTATTCATTTATAAGTCTGTTCCCAGAAACATTTGTTTCATGTTAGCTGTTCAAGTGTGGACTTTTGAAATAACTTCAATTACTGCTGTATTGTGCGGATGATTGATGACTTCCCCCCCCTAATCCGGAAAAGGTGGGTGGTGTTTCTCCAGTGAAGCTGAGTAAGCCTTTTTCAAGGGATGATACAGAAAAGCTCATCTGAGCAAGGAATCGTTATGCTTCTAAAAGTTCCTTTTCACACTGGAACTTAAACTAGGCCCGGCCATCTGTGGCTCATAGCCTGGCCTCTTCCATCTTCACCTGCTCTGGCTCTCAAATGAACTTGGTGCTGATGGGACAATCTGAGGGTTTCACTGCTGATCTGGAAGTGGGAAAAGATGGGCAGGAAACACAGGCACACAAGGATAGTCTCTCTATGGTCTTGGAAGTGATACATGACTTACAGAGTGCAAGATATTGTGCCCTAAATCACTTTTTATATCTGCAAAACAATGTGATTGCAGAATATACATAGCTTGAGATAAAACTAATCATCTCAACAAGGATGTTGAGACAAAACAACAAATTGAAATTTCTAAAACAGGGAAAAGGCAGTGATAGCTTTGCTGAAATTATGATTGATATCTAACAAACATCAAACCAGAACTACTGGTAGGTTTATCTCTGTGTAGCAGGCAGTTCATTCTTGGATCGTATTGGTTAGCTCCTTTGGAGTATACCACAACCATATACTCGTATTAAGAGATGGCTGAACTACGTCTAGTCTCAAGTCCTTGGATGTGGTCTTCCACAGAGGAGGAGAAAAAGTGGCCCAGGGAGTTACGGGAGTTGATGGGCAATATATTCTAGCTCTGAGAAGGACAGGAAGATCTTTCGCCCACCCCCGATTATCAGAGAGAGGCCCAGGTCAGCCAGAAGGAAATGTAATAATAATGCAATGTGTCTCAAGTGAGCTGCAAAAATTAAATGTCTGTGTCTGACAATCGTTGCTTTAAAGTGCTATTTAATGTTTCCCTTTGTAAATAAAGACACCCCCCTCCCACTTTGGCCTTTGACTGACATTGTAAAGTCTACCTTTGAATTTTGTTATCAGGCAATCACTTGTGCAACTCATCATTTACTCCACAAAACCATGTATTTTTCTTTCTGCACATTAATTTCTTGAGAAAATTAGACTGGCAAGTTATTTCTGGATGGTTTGTGTTCCTTGGCAATTTCATATCTTCCTTTTTATATTGTACTTTGTTTCCAAACACTGGAGTAGTTACTATCTTCAAAAGAATTTAGCAGCTGAGGCCTTCCCAATGGTGCCGCTTTGCCATTTTGCTTTTTGCTGCTGCATGTTTCTCCTTAAAGGTGGCTGTTCACACTATTCTGCTTGACCAATCTAATGGTAATAAAGCAATTGTACTCTTCTGCCAAGGCGGTGGTGGCCGTCCCCAACCCCAAGACTCCAAAAGTCTAAGCCAAACATTGCTAAATGTCTGAATAAGAGACTTCCTTAAACAGCTTTTTGTCTCATCTGATTGGTCTAAAAAGAAAAGAAAAAAAGCATATACCAATAAACTTTTACCAGAATACCAAACTGTTTTGGAAATTTATCTTTTTTATATGAACCAGCACAAGACACTTAGACAAAAACTAAAATATCAGGCCCATGAAAGTCTGTTTTGGAAGATTATACTTTTCTCAGCAGTTGAATGTCAGGTGGTCTAGATAGTAAATTAAATTCTTCTAGTATATTCCAGTTACAAAATGGACAACTATTTGGGGTGTGTATGTGTGTGAATATTTTGATAGCGCTCTCCATTTGGAGGTATTATGTATTCTTGCCAGAAATATTGTAATCAATGAACATGGCCTTACAACCTGCTGCACTTCTTGGCTGTTTGATCAGCAACCTTTTGATCATTCTGTAGGAAGAAATATCCTTCTGGGTTCAGCTCCAAGTGGGGAAAAAGACACTGGAAACATGGAGACTGCTTGGAAAGATGGTTTAATGGTGGACAGGATCACATGGTTTGAGTTCCTGAACAGAAAAGGGGTGAGACACAGTGAGTCCCCAGGTTTTATGCCCTGCTCTGGCTTTGAACTTCCTGGGGCCCAGAAAGAGTATCCTGATTGGTTGTCAGACTCCCAGAGGTGGGGGTCTTAGCTGGACTTGCTGGCTGATGTAATCTTCCCAGGTGCCATGTGGTGAGTTTCTGTTGCTAGATGGGTCCTATTGTGTTAGTTTCTGTTGCTAGATGGGTCCTATTGTGTTGCAGATGATGGTCCTTTGACAAAGATTGAGTTTCTGCCTCTGGCCCATTGACAAAGGGTGGGGGCAGGAAGATGGGAGCTGCTTCGTCTTTAAAACATGCTTCTCCATTTCTCATCCAGGGAAACATAATATTCTGCCTTTTTAATATTTCCCAAAATATTTCATTCCTCTAGGAAAGGGGTGGGTGCTAACTTCTTACAATTCCAGACCATGGGAGGTGGCAACAGGAACTGAAATCATCTGCAGGTTGAACTCTGGCATTTGCCCTATGGCAGCTGGATAGGAATCTCCCCAAAGGCAACTTGAGGATCTGCTCAACTCCTACCTAACACATATAGAATAATGGAGTTGGAAGGGATCTAGTAGTTTTTCTAGTCCAACCCCCTGCTCAAGCAGGAGATCCTATACGATTTCAGACAAATGGCTGTCGTCTTTTCTTAAAAACCTCCAGCGATGGAGCCCCAAAGCTTTAAACTCCATTTCCACCAGCTGTGGTCAATAAAAAGGTGTACAAGAGCCAAGCTGCCGACCAAAGATCAAGAGTTCCTAGTGGTATTAAGTTCCACCCAGAAAAATCCAGAAAAAGCAGCTGACCATCCTGGGAAAAGTAATGTGTGAATGCTAGAGTTCTCCTCCCAGGACATCCTTTGATCCTTTAATGGAAGCTGGCAGAAAGGGAGCAGTTCAGTAAAACAGACAAGGTGTCAGCCTAAAACCAGGAGCTGGTGAGTTCTAGGCCTCTTTAAACATGAGAGTGGCCGCAGGATTTGGGGCACCTGCTTGTCTCTCAGCCAAACCCACCTCAGAGTGTTGTGGGGGAAAAGAGGAGGCACGAATATTAGCCATGTTCATTGCTTTGTAATACAGCGACCATATTTTATTGGGAAAGTTAAAAACAAACCTGAAAAATGAGGCAAATCTGAAAGAGGTACAAAATGATAAAAAATTGTAACTGCTATAAACTTTTATTTTCAAATGAAAATTCAATATCAAAACCAAGAAAAAGTTCACAAAAAACGCATATCCTAATAGAAGATCTTCTGAAATAAAGGACTGCCTTTATAATAAAGGACACGTGGTCACTGTAGTTATACATTCAAAACTCGGGATGTAATAATAATCATTAGGATTGAGTATCAGCTATCCAAAAACGGCGCCCTTCAGGTACCTAAAGCCATCATTCCCACCCAGGCCAGCCCAAAGCCACGCACTATGCCTCCCCAGCCGGCGGAACTTCTGGCGCGGAGGCCGTTTCTGCCCGGAGGTGCAAGGGGGGGGGGTGCGCGGGCCGTTAGCTCACCGGAAGTTCCGGGGAGCAAACGCCGGAAGCGCGTTTCGCCTCGGCCGGGCGCCTGGAAGGAGTCGCGCGCGATGGGCCGCAGCCGCTCCCGGTCGCCTCCGCGGAGGGGTGAGCGGGGTGGCGGGTCTTGGTTGCTCCGGTTGCCCTCAGGGTCTCTGGCTTCCCGGCCGCCTTCCCTCCGCTGAGGCCGCCCAGTCCGCCTTGCCCCGCTTAAGGCAGGCAGCCCCGAGGGAGGCTTTTCCCATCCTAGAGACGTGGGACTCGGACGCCTTTAGCGGGTGCTCCAAACCCCCCCCCGGAAGGCCCCCTTTCCCCAAGGCCCCCTCCGAGGGGTGGGAGGGTGGAAACGGCCGGGCTCTTGGGGCTTCCGATTGTAGGTGGGGGGGGGGGAGAGAATAGGTGGCCTTTTGTTTTCATCTGCCACAGCGGAGCCTTGGTATTTTCCATCACTTCCCGTTTCCTCACCCTTGATTTAAGGTTAAATATTTTTTTAAAAAAAACCTGATTGAAATGTCTTGAAGATAAGGCGTTCGTAATTTTCATGTGAGGATCCTATATAACGCTAAAAGCGACTTGTGTTAGTTTCACTATCAAAGCTGCGCTGCTTTCCTTTTTAGGCTAATCCATGGTTTTATGAGCAATATCTTTTCTCCAGTATCCTCCAGTTCTGTTATCCTTCATTTTTAAGGGAACACTGCAGGATATAGAATGGTGGTTTAAATGACACCTAACAATTGATGTCAAAATACCTTTTGTGTTTTTCCTTTGAATATGTTTTGCTTATTGTAAGCCAAGAGAAATTGGAATTAACTCTATATGATATTGTAAGTTTCATGGAAGAAGAGTTGAATAAAAGCATAGAACTCAATTAAAAAAAACAGTATTATTTAAATTATCTGCAAGAAAACACCAAGGATCCCTCAAAGTATTATTTAATATTGGAGCAATCTGTAAAGCATTTGTGTCTGGAGGACCAAATTTGCTGAAGTTGTGACAGTATTTCAGGTGTGATGTAATAGTTTAGGAAAAATAGTCCTCTTCGATCCAGGGGACTTACTGCCTCTGTTGTTTAACTCTGTAAAAAAGAACGTCGGCGTTCCAGATCCACCTCACGTGAAAGAGAGAGGAGGAGACGGGAGCGATCAAGATCTCGAGAGAGAGACAGAAGGAGAAGTCGTTCTCGTTCTCCACACAGACGAAGATCCAGGTGAGAAAGTGACAATGGGTTGTAGCAACTAACTCTTCGGCTAACAGTTACTTGTTCCATAAAGAGTAGGCAGCTTAAATAAGAATAGCCCTGCCGACTGCCATTGTTGTGGGCGCAGAATTATTTACTTCATCTAATATAAATTTGGAAACATCGAAACTGTCTTCTAAACAAACACTTTATCTAAAGAGACTTTAGAAATTGTGCAGTCTCACTCAAATTCTTTCACAAATTAGTTATTTCAAAAAGAAAAATATATGTTTTTCTAATATCTGTTCATTAAATTGTAATCAAATTGAAATTATTGCTTAGTGTCATGGCTACAAATTTATTGGGCTGTTGATTATAAGGGTTTTGGTTAATCCTGCAAGCATAGGTAACTGATATGTATAATTTTATCCAAATGAATAATTTATGTCTGACAATCAAAATAAAAGAATTGGATAATTTATATCAAGATGATCATTTTAATATTTATAACAACATACAGCTCTACAAGGATGCTATATTCTTGCTAGTTATCTTTTCATATCATTTTATACATAAATATACTATGTTATTTAATAATTTGCCTAGTATTAGAAATACAATTTCATATAAAGCTTAAGAACACAATAAATGTACAGCTCTGTGTTAGTAATTCAAATTTTATGTATTTTGCTTCAGCTGTTAGGCTAGGGCTAGGCTGTCCAAACTGGAATGATTGTAAATAACCCTCCCCAAGAAGGACTCCATTCCTGTGATAGGCAGACTGATCTAGCTCTGTTCTTTTTCCTGCCACTTCCTTACATTAAAGGAAAACAAAACAGAGATAATTGTCTGAGGATGCAGTTATGCTTCTAGCATGCATCCTTTGCTTCTGTTTTAATGCCCCTGTTCTAGTTATTTGAAAATAATAAAAACGCTCTTCATTTTGTCTCATAATACAAATACATAATTTTTTTTGCTGTTAAAGTGAAACCTGCGCTGGTTTGACATTCTAGATCTCCTCGGCGGCATAGATCCAATTCTGCTTCTCCTTCCCGGCAGAAAGAAAGACGAGAGGATGAGAAGAAGGACAGCAAAGACAAAGAGCATCAAATCACAGGTAGCAACGTAGATGGTGCACTTTGCTGTGGGGTTTTGGTTTCCACTCTTTGCTTTGTGCATTGGACTTCTATAAGGATGGGGAAGCCTTTGAACAATCAGCACTGGACTGTTTGGTCATTTCCTGGTCTTAGAGAGGACAAAACCTCCCCACCCCTTTATTGAGAGCTAATTCTTATGATAAGACAAGATAAGATAAAGATAAGTTTTGTTGTCACTTTCTTCTGTAACACGCTGGCACACATTAAAAAATGAAATTTTGATGCCCGCTCTCTTAATATTTAAACCTTAAAACCTTTCCACATCATTATTGATCATTTCTAATAAAAGAGTTCCTGTTTCCTATACATAGTCCTCCCTGATTACAATTGTTGTGGTTTGGTCTATTTTTTGAGCACTTCTAATTTTGTCATTTTGTCAAAGAATGCAATAAGATTAGTCTGGACTGTTTTTTCCCTTTGTGTAAAGACAGATGCAAAAAATGAGTTAAGTAGTTCTGCTTTCTCCCTGTTGCTTGTCACCTTGCCACTTTCTCCCAGCAATGGACCAATTGTTTCCTTGCCTTTTTTCTTGTTTTTAACATATTGGAAGAAGTTTGTCGCAAGCTTTTGTTCACTGTGAGCCTTAGCTTTCCTCACTTCATCTGTACAGGCTCGGGCTATTTGCTAATATTCTGCCTTAGTTATTTGCCCTTCTTTCCACTTTTTATACTTGTCCTTTTTGTCTTTCAATTTGTCAGAGAGTTCTTTATGCAGCCATGCTGATTTCTTTTGAGAGCTGTTATTTTTCTTTTTCATTGGTATTGTGCTAGACCAGGCTTTTATAATCTCACTTTTCAAAATTTTCCTAGCTCCTTGAGTTGTTTTCCCCTTGGAATCCTTCCCAAGCTCTTCCTAAGTTTATTGAAATTAGCTCTTTCAAAGGCCAAAACTCTAGTTTGACTTTGTTCTACTACTCGTGCTTGCATAATTTTGAATTCCAATATTGCATGATCACTTGCCCCCAAGGTTCTTGTAGCTTCAACACCTATCATTTCATCTCTGTTAGTGAGAATTAAGTCCAATATGGCTGATTCCCTAGTTCCTTTCTCTTCCTTTTAGGAAGACAAAGTTGTCTGCTAGGTTTGTTAGGAACCTGTTGGATCTTCCACTTGGTGCAGAGTTTGTCTCTGAGTTGATGTCAGGGTAGTTAAAAACCCCCATTACTATTGTGATGTGCTTCCTATATACCTTAGTTAGCTGAGTAGCAAAAAGTTCCTCTATTTCCTCTGTTTGGTTGGTTGGCCTATAGTATAGATCTATAGCAATGTCATTTTTTTCGCCTTTGATATTGACCCAAATGCATACAAGATAATTTTCATCATTGTTGTGCTCTATTTCTGTAGAGATGTAGTTATTTCTATTCCAACTCTTCTTTTATTTGGTCTATTTCTTTTAAATAATTAAATTTAAATAATTTAAATCCCTCTAGCTGTATATTCTATTTGTGGGTTTCATCCCACAAGTTTCCGTAATGGCAACAATATCATATCTGCCCCTCATTTACTTGAATTTCTAATTCATCCTGTTTATTCCTCATACTCTGTGCATTGTTGTATAGACATTTGAGTCCATTTTGATTGACCCTATTTTTACTGTCTACATAACCTGTGTTATGCCTGACTGCCCCTACTTTCTTGCCACCTGTTTGATTAGTGTACTTGATATGGCACTCACTATTAAATGCTTGGTTTTGCTTGATAGCAAGGTTGATAATCTTACTCGCACAAACTTCTATGTTACATGCACTGATACCCCTGTTAATTTTAGATTGCTGGGGACAGAAATGTTCTGTATCAATTAATTCTCTATCCCCGCTATTCAGTTTAAATATTTATCCAGAAAATCTGTGAATTTAATGCAAGTAACTCAGTCCCTTTCTTTGATGGATGCAAACCATCTCTTTTGTACAGTTTTTCATTGGACCAGCTGCAGACATCATGATTAATAAAACCAAAGCCTTCCCTTTTACTCTACTCCTTTAGCCACACATTAAACTCGGCTACACGCTGGCCTTTCCCTTTTTGTTCCTTATATACTGGTAAAACCTCTGAAAAGATAAGCCTACAACCTATATTACTAAGTTCATATCCCAAGCTCTGGAAATCATACTGCACAGAAATTACATCTTTTTGGGACAGATCATTTGTGCCAAGATGTATAATAGCATCAATATCACAGTCTTTACTGGCATTCTTGACTATCTTAAGAATACGCCTTTTAATGCAATAATTTAATGCAATAACTTCTAACTTTATGGGGTCTTCTATCTGGGGATCAGTTTCCTAGGGAAAAGGAAAACATGCTTGTGGGGATCAGGCTAACAAATGTTTTTCTAGACCTTTCCCACAGTAGTATTAAAAGTTAACTAGAAAATCTAATTGGACAGACCCAGGAAATGGGCAGCATCTTTTAAATGAGGCCTCCTTCCCGATCCTTGAATAAGATGATGGCATGACTTTTTTTTTATAAGACTCCATCGATCGTGAGGTTTAGGCCCAACTGCTCATAGATCCCTTTCATGGATGAGGCCACGGTGAGGCTGGTGGCCATCCAGCTGTAAGTATACTTGGAGCTATTTCAGGCCCAGCTATAATGCAGGAAACGCTTCGGTTGCCCTGATTTTTGAGCCAAGGAGTTTGCTGTTGTGTTGATGCTCCAGGATCATTTGTTGTATTTGATATTAGATAATGCTCAGGTTGGGAATGAGATACTTTATCTCCATGTCATGCCTTGTTTTCTTATGCAGAAGAAGACCTGGAAGGCAAAACAGAAGAAGAAATTGAAATGATGAAAACGATGGGATTTGGCTCATTTGACACCACAAAGGCAAGCAGATTTTTTTCCTTAAACTTTAAAATGTGTACGTAAGCTACATCTGCTGTTAAGGTGGCAAGCTGCAAGCAGGATGTGGAAGGATGTCTGCATTGTACAGAAAAGTTACAAAACTGGCGAGTGCTGAATTCAACTTTTGAGAAACTGCTGTGAGAGAGGGCACCTGAGGGCAGAAGAAGCAGCAATGGATGGCAGCTAGTCAGGGAGAGAAGCAACCTAGAACTAAGGAGAACTTTCCTGACAGTTAGAGCAATTAATCAGTGGAACAATTGGCCTCCAGAAGTTGTGAATGCTCCAACACTGGAAGTTTTGAAGAAGAGACTGGACAGCCACCTGTCTGAAGTGGTGTAGGGTTTCCTGCCTGAGCAGGGGGTTGGATTAGAAGACCTCCAAGGTCCTTTCCAACTCTGTTATTCTGTTCTGATATCACAAGCCAGAAAGTCTGGGGAGTACTCTTCCATGTAGTTGAAGGCAGTACCATACATCCTGAAATTAATGTGCAAAATGTAAAGCCAGGAGGACCAAGAAGCACAATAGAACTCATATATGCATTTTCCCTATGGATAGAACCTGAAGTTCATTTACAGAGCTCTTCTTTAATGTAGACCTAACTAATGTAGAGAACAGCTTCTTTTGTGCATCTTATAGTTTTCCCATAGATACGAAGCAAAACGAGCCTTCTGTGATTAATGTGTGCCTTTTCATTCAAATAGAACAGGGCTGGAAAGGATCTTGAAGGGCCAAAGCCGATTTAAAGCAGGAGACATTATACTACTCCAGACAAATGGTTATCCAATCTCTTCTTGAAAACGTCCCATGAAGGAGCACAAAAAATTTCAGGAGGCAAAGCGTTCCACTGATTATTTCTCCTTAGTTCTAAGTTGGCTCTCTCTTTGATAAGTTTCCAGCCGTTACTTCTTCTGAACATGTATGAGACCATCCAATTAAATTATTTTGAGAAAGCCATTTCTTTAGGGGAGTAAACCTCCCAAAATGAGGGCTAGCTCCCACTGTTCTCAGGAAGCCCTTAACAACTGACTTTTCCAAAGACCTTGAGCAGTTGGAAGAGCAAGAAAGACGAGCCCATGACTCGAGCAGAGGGAGCATCCCTGCCACAGGGGCCCAGGAGCCAACTGGAGTGGACACATTTGCTGGCTGTAAAGTGAAGTGTACCAGGTGAACCAGGCCAAAGGGCTCCCAAGGTAGCTGCACTTGTGTTGGCACAAGCAGTAAATACTACGTAGAAGATAGGTGGAGGTTGCCTTTCTTCCAAGCCTTCCTGCCTTTTGGTAGCCCATTGTCATATTGGGCAGCTTGGTTGTTTATCGTCATCAGTTACTAAGTTGATATGCCACCTGATTCCCAGTGGCTCGCTTAGATGCAGACCAGCTCTTACACTTATTTTAAATACTAGAACTGAACTAAATTACTTCCCCTCTCCCAATGTCGGAGAGACTCTCAATGGGAGAGTCAAGAACAGCAAGGGGGCAGATGCAACATTGTGGTGCCAGGATGTGGGCTGGGACATCAGCTACCACAAAAGGGGTGGAGCTTGCCCCATGATACTATACCTGTCACCTGGTCTTTTTACACACACCCTCTATGGATGCCACTGCTTCCAATTTTTTTTTCCGTTCGGGAGGCATCATTTCTTTCTTGCCATTGCTAAACAAGAACCTTTATGTTTACATTAAGTCATCTGTCAGATCCACACCTAGTCTTTCTCCATTGGGTCCTTCTAGGATCTCTTTAACAGAGGGATTGCATTCCAAAGGTTCCTTGGTAGCAATGCCCTGAAGAAAGAGACCAGAAAAGTAATCAGACTTTCTTCTTTTGGAAATAATTAAATTTGGTTTTGTGGCAGTTGGCAGACTTCCAAAAATTTGTAGTTATTAAAAAAGAAACAGAAAAGGGGACTAGATTTCTTGAAACATAGTGATTTCATTTCATTATTATTGTGCCTTTCCTCTGAGATGTATAAGCAAATTCTTCTGCCTGCCTGCCCATTGCTCTGCGGTTTCTGGGTAGTCGGTAAACTTTCTGCTGGGTCCGGGAATAATGCGGAATGAAACATGTTGGGATGGTGGTGGAGGAGGATATTGGTGAGAGGACAATTGCCATCCTTTCAGTTGTTTGAAAGTGATTGCTTTTTTCCTTTGTCTTGCAGGGCAAGAAAGTGGATGGGTCTGTAAATGCTTATGCTGTAAACGTGTCACAGAAACGGAAATACAGGTTGGCATTTATTCCCTTGCACAGATTGGCCCCTGAGCATAGGAGCTGCTGGGGCCCTCTTTGTTCAGCATCACTTGATCAACACAACCTTTGCAAAAATTGCTTCGGGTTCCTTCTTAACTCTTTTTAGAAACAAAAGATTTCTGCCTTTATGAAAGAGAATTCCCTATTCACTTACTTAGCTCCAGAACATCTAGGGGTAATCGTTAACGTGTTGGAGACCCAGATTCTTGTCTTCGCTCAAGTACGAAGGCTCCTTAGAGGGCTTGGATACGGTCACTCCATCCCACCCAAACCTACCTTACAGAGAGGCAGCTCCCGGCCTGTGCTGGCTCAGCTGATGGAGGCCCCCTCGTGGGGTGCGATTGAACTTCCAACCCCAACCGACCCAGTGGGTGCGAGCTACCCCAACCCAGAAAGGAGAAGAAGCTGATTTTGGGGGGTGGGGAGACAGACTCAGGGTGGCTTACAATGTGTTAAGCAATAGCCTTCATACTATTGTATATTTATACAAAGTCAGCTTATTGCCCCCATAATCTGTGTCCTCATTTTACTTATCTTAGAAAGGATGGAAGGCTGAGATTTGAACTTGCAGTAATTGCAGGCAGCAGATGTAAGTGGATGTTAGTGCTTTAGTCTGCTGAGCCACCACAGCACTAATTTTGCTTAAATTAGTGTGTGTATGAGAGACAGACAGGGTTTTTTTAAAAACTATAAGTAAATATATCAGGCTTAATACACCTATTTTGTTTCTATCTAGGTATATTGACATTTAAAAATGCATGGTTTACTACGGTAATATAAGAGTAGTGCCTATTGAAATTTTAGAAATATGGGAGAGATATTGTGGAAAACTTTGCTCACATTTATTTCTCTTGTTGCAGGCAGTATATGAACAGAAAAGGTGGATTCAACAGGCCCCTGGACTTTATTGCCTGATGTGTCTGCAGCTGTTACCGATAAAAAACTCTACTGAAGTCTCATTTGTCTGGCTAAGAGGTTCTGTCTTCTCACCCCAAAAGGGTTAGGGTCGTTTTTGTGAATAATTCCTTGAAGTTACGTTTCCTAGGCTGAGATGGTATTTTTTTTCCTCTCAAATGTATCTTTTGCACAGTGGTTTTTCTGATGTTGCTATTCCACATTTGTAGGTTTCCGTTTTTAAATATTGTCAGTTAAATTAAAAAAGAAACATCTTGTCGCCTTGAGTAAAGTTGAACTAGACCAACTTTTCTAAAAGACAGAATCAAAAATTGATTAGTAATGCTTGGTTCCTGAAATATGTTGATGTTTACAGAACTTAATTTTTCCATTGCTGAATTCCTTTTTAAACAGTACCGAGAAGACAATTGGTTCTCAGCACAATGGGATTTAACTCTCTTGTTCCTTTGCTGCTTCAGCCACATAATATATTTCAGATCCTGTATTGTTGCTCTTTGTCCAGCAGGGGGCACTCACACCAGCGAGTCATTGAAGAGCTTCCCTTGTTTGCTTGCATTATACCCTTAAATTCTTCCAGGAAGAATTTCACTGGCATTGTTTGGGATATTTGATTTGTATAATTACATCACCTGTATATTCAGTGCAGAATTTAAGAATAATTATCAAAATCCAGCAGGACCGCTTTACACTAAAAGGTTTGTAACTTGGGTGGGAATGGGGGGGGGGTGTGATTTGCAAACCACTATTTATTTATTTAGCATATGGCATACAATGTCAGGAAAATATATACCTGCTAGACACACAATGCAGTCTTGACAGCCTAAATGGCTAGTTCTTCCAGACTCCAGGTGTAGTGCATACCACTATATTTCAATCCAGACAGAAGCTATACAGTAGAACTTCCCGGTGCTTGTGTCATGGTGAGGAATCTGCTTTTTAGGGATCTGGGTGCGTTGCTGGCAGGAGCATATGGATTTAATTTTTTCTTCAAAGGCATAATCAAAATTCATCCTTGATGCTGCAGTTGCAAGCATACTCAGTAGGGAGTATGGAACAGGATATAATTCTGGGTAGAAATGGGTTTTTTTGGTGCTGTTATTGAATAGTACGTTTGCTTCAGTAATTAATTCAGCAGAGGTATAATCCAGATTAAAATCAAATGCTTAGCTTCCTTTGACCTAGAATGGTAATGGGATTTATTCCACCCACACTCAAGTTCAGACAAACCTAGAAGCCAACAGATGTAAGGGTTATGAACAGACAGTTGCCTACATAAGACGTTCAGGGTGCCGTTTTGGCTACTGGAATGTGAAATATTACTAAAGAGTATTTTGTACAGGTCCTTTTGTTTAAATTAAAACCTTTTAGTTTTGTTCTTACCTTCTCTTGTGTCATAAAAATAAAGCAGAGAGGTAAGAGTCACATTTTAAAATGGGATGAGCTTGCATTTGGAACCACCTTGAGAAAACCTGGAAACCAATAAAGCTGGAACTTCCAGTTGTGTAATTATTTTAACGCCCATGGAATTATTTATATATATATATATATACTCAATATGTTGTTTTGGGGTTTTACATACTGCATTGAGCAGTGGTGGCCTCAATCTCAGATTGGTTCCCTCCTTTTGGGGGGGGGGGTACGGGGAGCCCCACCAGGCTCAGGTTCATCCAGGCATCCTCCCTTCAGGCTTGCACACGGTGTTGCATGTGCTCCTCCGCTAAAATACAGCGGGCCTATTTTCATACCGAGCAGGGTGGTGATTTCATGCTGCAGAGACTTCCCTGGGATCAGAGTAACACTTCTGGGCTAGTTGAGGACAAGGGTTGACAAGTTTAAGGTGTGTGGATTAAAACTGCCAGAATTCCTGCTTTTAAAGATGTGCGACTTTGGAATTCTGGGAGTTGAAGTCCTGCAACTGTGGATCGCACCAGGGTCGGTCTTGTTGCATCAAGGGCCGGGAACGGACCGCAAGAGATTCCTGGGCTTTGCAGGCCGTCCGCCCTGGAGGTGTGAGAGGCGAGCAATGCGCATGCTCCCCGCTGGCTCGATGTTGACTTCCTTCTGGTTGGGCGGGACCATAGAACAAACACGTGGCCGGGGGCGGGGCCGAGGATAGAAACCAACACAATAAACAGGGCGGGGCGCCCGGGGGCGTTGGCCAATCCGAAGGCTGAATGGAGTTACGGGAACCGTGCGGACCTATGAGAGCCGCCACAGGATGTCGCTCCGCCGAGGCTGGCCAATGAGGCCTCCCTTTCGGGCAAAGCAGAATAGCGACGAAAACGTCGAAGGAAGCGTCATCCCGGGGCTCGTCCAATCAATCGGTACGATTATCGTGGTGAAGCGCCTCCCAGCGACCGAGCCAATGCCTGGACCGAATGAGGGGGCGGAGCCGGTTGGTGTTTTCTGTTCCTCGAAGGGCCAATCAGAGGAACGGGAGAGCGGAAGCAGCGCCTGCCGGCCAATCGCGGCCGCGCTGGGCGGGTAGCGGGTTGGGCTGCGGTCGCAAGGGGCGGGCTTGGCTGCGCCGAGTCTGTCAGGCTGAGGTGGGGTAAACACAGACGGGCGCTGGGACGGCGGCGGCGGCGGCGGCGTTGCGGGGAAGCGAGAGGACGAGCCGGCCAGCCCGGCAAAATGGCGGCCGCCGCGCAGGTGTGCGAGAACATCCAGATGCTGCTGGAGGCGGCCGAGTTCCTGGAGCGCCGCGAGCGAGGTAGGCCGCCCGGGCCCCCCCGGGAACAAAGCGGCTCCGGCAGGGAGGCCCCCGCGGCCCTTCTTCCCACGGGCGGAGGTCGCGCGGCTGCTCCCCTCCTCCCCCGCGGGCCCCGGTCGGGCGCCGAGGCTCCTTCGCTGGCTGGCTGGCCTTGCCCGGCCGTAACGGCAGCTCCGCGGCACGCGAGGGCCCGAGACAAAGGAGGGGGGGCGGGAGGGCCGGGCCTCCCTAAGCGCCGTTTTCCCTCCGCAGAAGCCGAGCACGGCTACGCTTCCATGCTGCCCTACAGCGCGAAGGAAAGGGAGGCCCTGAAGAGGAGGAGCAGGCCCAAGAAAGGCGGCGGCGGCGGCGGCGGCAGCAGGTAAGGCGGCGGCGGCGGGGCCGGTCGGGGTGCTCCGTCCCCCGTGTGGTGAACCTGCCTTGCCTCCCGGGGCGGAGGGAGAAGGGCCGGCCCAGAGTCGCCCAACTGGCTTCGGTCCCGAGGCGGGGCGAGAATCGGCCGTGGCCTCTAAGCGCCGCTCCTGGCTGGCTCTGACTGGCGGTGGCTACGTGGACAAGTCCCCGCCGCTTCCCCGGCAGCTTCCTCCTCCTCCTCCTCCTCCTCCTCCTCCTCCTCGGGCCTGGCCCAGCTGGCTCGCCTGCCTGCCGTGGTTGTAGCCGGGCACCTTCAGCCGCTGGGCCACCCTGGCTCTCCACGCCTCAAGAGTCCCCAAGATCCGAGCCCTCCTCACAGCTTTAGCCGAAGTGCAGCTTCTGTGCTGGCCTCTTTCTTTCTCTTTCTCTTTCTCCCCTGAGCTGCCTATTAACCAGGGATGGATGGGTTGATGATCTGAAAAAAGTGGGTATCACCACATAGCCTGAACTTCCTCCTTCCTGTTGATGTTTTCAGTAGGCTGGGAGGAGGCGGCTCTTGTGGTGCTTCTTGAGACACATTTCAGAAAAGCATTTAATGATCTTGAGGCCACTCCTGTTTCCTGGACATCAAACCTTATGACACGCCTCATTTAATATTTAGCTTCTTGGAAGTCTGTTTTTCAAAGTACTTGGACCCTCCTTTCTAGTGAATTCTGAAAGCACGTTAAAGATGAAATCTATAATTTATTAAGACATTGAAAAAAGGAAGATTTACTTTTGAAAAAAAAATGCTTGGGATTGTAGTACATCTTTGGTATTTTCTATCCTGTGCCTAGTACTACTTGGTTAGTATTCTCACAACACATTAAATTCAGGGTAACAAAACCCAATTGTTCTCATGTGACATGCCATGCTCAAACCAAGTATATTAGAGCCTCCCTCTCAGACACTCACTAGAACAAAGGACAGAGTTTGCGTGAGATGCTAAACTCCAAATCGCTCGACCAATATATGGCCTAATTTAGTGTCATGTAAACCAATGTTGCCATCTAATTTAGTGCTGCAATGTAGTTCAGTGACCTTATTTGCCTTTAGAGTTATTCCTACTTGTCTGTTCTCCAACTAGTCAGTCATCTGCTAAGCAGGAAGGAAGCAACTGAGAAACGGCACTCTTGCTAGAAAACATTTCAACTTCCTCCCACTTCAGTCATTCCTGAGATAGCTTTTTCCTTATTAAAAGGATCCATGAACAAATAATGATCATGGATGAGATCAGTTTTTGTGGTACCATCCATGAGAGTCAAGGCTTCTAATAAAAATATTGGGAATCCCTATAACTCGTGCTCATAGCTTGCAAGATACATTTGTATCCTGTACTTTTTGTTTTAAGTGCTCAGAGTACTCTAAGTAGGGCTGCCATGTATGAGCTGCAAAACTATGGACACTTACTAGAGGCAACACATAATTAAATTATTTAACTGTTCACTTCCATCTACTAAGTGACTGGCCCAGGTATGATATTCAATACATGGACTCTGGGTGATATACAGAATCTAAATGACAACAGATAATGCTACAGTTAATCATTACAATACAAAGTAACAAACCCCTTTTTGGCACTAATGACTCCATGCTGATCAGTCCCCTGTCCCGTTTAAAAGCCTTACACAACATTCTCCCCAGATGATAGCAATAATACGTAGACTTATATACCGCTTCACAGAGCTTTACCGCCCTCTCTAAACGGTTTACAGAATCAGCATATTGCCCCCAACAATCTGGGCCCTCATTTTGCTGACCTTAAAAGGCTGAGTCAACCTTGAGCCGATGAGATTTGAACTGTTGGCAGTTGGCAGAGTTAGCCTGCAATATTGCCTTCTAACCACTGTGCCACCACAGCTCTTGATGCTCATTGGCTTAGAGTTAACGTCTTGAGACAACTGCAGACCTTTGAAATTTTTATAAGCAGAGTAAAACACTAGAATTTAATTACTTCAAATCAGTTCAGAAAACTAAGAAGCACATTTAGCTTTGGTTGAGGGTTTGTTGTCTTTTAGAGATGACAAACTAATGGTTAAAGCTAGTTTTGGTGTTTTAGTTCCATTTGAGGATAAGCTTCATTCAGGCTGCCTCTTGTTTTGTAACATAGCTAAAGAATAGCAAAGTAACTTGTCTTTAGTCATCCTTGATGTCAGTGGTTAGGGACTTCAAGATGAGTACATTATGTTTTCTGTCATTTGAGAATGGCACAGGAAGTGAAGAACGAAATTTCAGGGTTAACCCTCTGTCTTGTTTCTCTTTCCCCTTATCTCACTCTTACTTGAAACATGTTTCAGATGCAGTTTTTCAAAGAAGTGCATCCCTTTTATGTGTGAAATTGTATGAGACCATATAAGAGTTGAGACTGAAATGTCCTAGTCCTGGAGTCCTTTGATAAACTATTTGGATTTTAAAAAAAAACAATTTACGGACTATGTTAATAGTACAAGAGCCTTAACCAAAATAATTACAAAATTAGTAACTTCATACAAAACCAGAAACCGTTTTGGTGGTTGTCTGGTGTTTTGAGTATGTTGGGAGAAGTCAAAATTCCAACCAGCACAGCCAATGACCTGGCATTATGGAGAACAGGTTGCTTCTATTCCTCGGGGACCTTAGGAAATTTAGGGAGTTGTTCAGCTGGCCTTGAGAAAATGTTTTTTTACATAGCTACTCAGTCACCATTCAGCAGCAGCACAGATAAAATCTTGAGAGGCATTTAGTGTAGTGAGGTAATTTTTGCAGTATGTTCCAGTGATATGTTAGTAGCATTATTAATAGTAATTAGCAAAAGTAATTTAAGGAAAAATAATTTAAATGTTCATGAGATGGATTTTCAATTAATATTGGGAGGCTATAGATTAGTTCAGTCCTATTATGACAATCTAAGATAGTAAGAAAAGTCTCTGCACTTAATTTGTCATTTGAAATATTGTAAATTCGGATACTGCAAGTCTTGCTAAGTTTCTACTTTTTGTACAAGTACTGAATCAAGTAATATGGGATTGCAATTAAATGGGGTGGTGGTGGTAAAATAGCTGGAGTACCCAATGTGATTCACAGTTATAAGATTTTGCAGGAGCAATAAGACCACTGTAGTATAATCTTAAGAAATTGGACTAGCACCGGTGTGATCCTCGCTCTCGGTGGATCAGTGGGTCTCTCTCTCCTCAGCCCACCTACCTTATCTAGTGATTCTTTTAGGGAGAGAAGGGAGAGAAAAGTGCCATCATGAACTCCTGATCAAAAGTCAAGATATAAATAAATATTAGCAGTGGCAATTTAATAGAAATTGTTGTGTATATTTAATTTTTATCAATCCACAGTTGCTAACTAATTGATGCTCTTTTTTTCTCTTTAAGATCAACACATAATGAAATGGAGAAGAATAGGTAAGTGTTCAGAAACAGTTTATATTTAAATTCTAGAAGCATCCTTAAATTATAGCATACCGTGTTGAAGCAAATTACAACAGTGGAAATCTAATTTTTCTGGCTGATGATCTCCATTAAGTAGAATTGACAAATGTTTATGTCTGGGGCCTTAATCCTTTGCAATATTGATTGTTACTTCTTTTTAAAGGAGACATTTATGCTGCATGTTCTGTCACTGGAAACAGAAATAGTGGAATCAAACTCTAGTTTTCACTATTCTGACAGTATTAAGAGAATTTATTTATCGTTTTCTTTCATATTGTTGCTTTTATTGATTCTAAGCCACTTAGAGTCACCTCTAGGGAAGATGGGTGGCATATAAATTTAATAAATAAACAAATTTCTAGAAAGCGTGCTTAAACATTGAATCACTTTTAACTTCAACCTTTCAAGTGTTAAAAGTGGTTCAGTGTTTAAGCGTTGTCACATTTAACCTTAATTAGAGAACACGGATTCTGAAGCAGAGCTTGTATTAGCAATAGCATAGCACTTAGACTTATATACCGATTTACAGAGTCAGCACGTTGCATCCCAACAATCTGGATCCTCATTTTACTGAATTCAGTATTGCTGAATAAATTTGTCAATTATCAGTGACAAATATTTCAACTACTAAGTGTCATTCTGCTGCATCTGATAGTAGCAGCAATTAGATTATCGGGCAACTTCGTATCCGGTTGCAGACACTGCCTGCTCCTCATGGCAAGCTGGCTCCCTGTGCATCTTGAAAGCAGCTCCTCCGTCTGGTTGCTCCGCTTAATTGCAGAATTCTAAAACTAAACTTTGGCTTTATTTAACAGATATTCTTTTTGATTTTATTAAACAGATAGTCTCAAGTGAGCTTCTCTGCTACATGCAACAATCTCTAGGCAAACGTATATCTCTAGTCTTTACTTGCTCTAATTCAAATGCAGGCACTGGTTATCCACGGGCTTTGCTGCATGATTGGATGAGATAGACCTGCGGTTTAGGGACATTAATTAAAATGTGAATTTGTGTCCTGGTCTGTAGTTAACAAGAGCACATTGGTTACGGTTCCTTAATGTATGGAAAGTCTTAAGATTGGATTTATGGCTTTTCTTATGCCAGAGTACATCTGAACAGTTTATATTCCTGAATTTATTGTCCTTGTTCAAAACTTGGAATGGGATGAAATAACTACAAATCTGTAACTGGATTTTGTCCATCGTAGATAACATGTTAAGAAAATATGTAAGTATCTTTATCTTTCTGGTAATATTAACATAACGTAATTTTGATTAACAGGCGTGCTCATCTGCGATTGTGCCTGGAGAAGCTTAAAGGGCTGGTGCCTCTTGGGCCAGAATCCAGTAGACATACTACACTGAGTTTACTAACAAAAGCTAAATTGCACATAAAGGTGAGTTAAAGCTATCATGCTTATAATGGAGAAAGAAAATAAAATGTTTTGTTTGACATTTCAGTTAAAATGAATATTGCATGTGATGAGCACATTCAGACTTTAAGTCCTGGAGTACATTTTTAAGTAGATCATGACAAGCTGATGCAAAAGATTCCACCTTACAGTGTACTTCAAAACAGATGTGAAAACAACACTAGGTAAAATGGCAAGAGAGGAAGGGATAATGGCTAAAACTAGTTAGCTGCCCTGGAACTAGTTCCATCCTCTGATGAAAGAAAGCGGCTGGCTTTCGCATTGAATGTTTCACATTCAGGGACCCATCGTTGCCTCTTTTCTTCCCCAGAAACTTGAAGATTATGACAGGAAAGCAATACACCAAATAGATCAGTTGCAGCGAGAACAGCGGCATCTGAAAAGGCAGCTGGAGAAACTGGGCATTGAGCGCATACGAATGGACAGTATAGGGTCGACAGTTTCTTCCGAACGGTCAGATTCGGACAGAGGTGAGGAAGCGCTAATCGGTGCCCTTGTACATGTACGCGCTTTCAAGTTCCAGCATGAATTGCTGGGTCAAAAAGTTTTACTGAGTTTGTTTGTTTGCTTGCTTGCTTATATTTCACATTTCTAAACCGCCCCTCTCCTTCCTTCCTTCCTTCCTTCCTTCCTTCCTTCCTTCCTTCCTTCCTTCCTTCCATCCATCCATCCATCCATCCATCTATCCATCCATCCAAGAGGCCCTCTGGGCTGACTGACATTGCTTTCTGTTGCAGAAGAAATTGATGTGGACGTGGAGAGCACAGACTATCTCACCGGGGACCTGGACTGGAGCAGCAGCAGCAGCAGCCCACCGAGCGATTCCGACGAGAGGGGCAGCTTGCAGAGCGTCTGCAGCGATGAGGGCTATTCGAGCGCCGGCATTAAGAGAATAAAGCCGCAGAACCATCTTAAGGCCTGCCTCAGCCTATAAGGAGCCAGTAGCGCCCCCTCCCCTGCCCCATCCACTGCTCTTTCCTTCTTGGATTTCGCTAGGTAGTATGTTGTTGGACCGCTCCACAATTCTCTTGCACGTAAACTTCTTGTACCATCAACATTACCAAATTCTGCTTTGCCTAAGTCTGAAAACAGTGCATAGTGTTGTGGGTGACAAGTTCCTCCCTGGAGCTCCCTTCTGATGGCATCCGCTAGCTTCTCTTTCCTATCCGTAAATTCATCTCTGTGAGACTGAACATTCCAGCCAGAATTCTTAGCCCCCGGAATATTATTGCAGTAACAGCCTCACATGTGTTTTGGGCCTGTGCTGCAATTGCTTAATATTCTGGGTGAAGATCTTCACCCCGAGGTAGTAGGGCCGATGGTGATATATGCTGTTTGGAAACCAAAGCCAGACTAGTCTTCAGGCGTGACCACTGTAAAAGGAACCCTACTTTTTTTGACATTCATTGTATCGCAGCAGCAGGCAGAAGTTAAAAATGATACGACAGGCATGAAAGAACATGTGCTTGTTGGGGAATTGTGCAGTGAATCTTTCCAGTCGCTGTTAAAAAATTATTCTGAAATGTCCCAAGTCATTCTAGTAATGAAGTAGCCAACCCTGAGGTTGGAAATAGGCTTGAGAGAGGTAACTAAGAGACTAAACTAAGTTTGGCAGAAGAAGAGCCGGCTGAGTGGAATTGTACCGGAGGCTCTAAATGGGAGTTGGGGGATGGTTTTCTCTCTGAGCTGCCTATCCCGGTAGGATCTCAATATTTTCACGTCAGATGACCAAATACGACACTTGTGCAATCTTGATTATGTCGTCTTTGCATTGACAGCTGCACGTTCCTTTTGTTGCTAGCAGCTCTTCGGGCTGCTGAGTCTTGCTTTTTGTCTCTGGGACAATTCTTTCTACCTCAGAGAGATGAACAAAGCTGATCTCAACCCCTTTAGCACAAATGAATTATGATGCCTCGTTTGTATACTTGGTACTAGTCCGACCTGTTTCCTTAAAAATTCAGCAATAACTGAGTGACAAAGTTAGCTGCGCTAGCTTTCAATTAATGACTGAGGAGACGGCCTCAGAGTAATTCCATGGTTGCCCTCTTGGCATTCTAGCACTTCTTTTACCAGATGAAATTCTTTGGGAGACCTCCCAATGTGCCGTGTGTGGTTTTGGTTTGGATGTTGGATGTTGGATTTCTTCTCTGCCCCCTTTTGGCCCTGTCTCTGCACTCCTGACAGCAGCAGCGTTTTTCATCTAAGCTAAGTAGAGCACATGCAAATGTACATAATGTGGTCTATAAATAGTATTTATTCATTTTTATATCAACCTAATGTACTATTCTTATGATTTTGTGCTTTTATAGATGATTAGGAAACTTTGTATGTCAAGGTCTAATGAACCTTCCTTTTCCCCTTCTTTTTGCTTTGAACTGCCCAGTTTATTGGCTGCCAGTGACTTTTAACAAGGATTCTTTGTATGCAGCTAGTTCTTGCCCAGCACTTACAGACTGTCAAAGAGACAGTCAAGCAACTTCCTGCCACTTCACTCTCAAAGGGCTATGTGGCAAGTTGCGCTTTACTATGTATACCATGTTTGCTTGTATCCACTAGCAGATACCCAAGCAAATACTGTGAAAATGGATTTATTTTAAGAAATATTTTAAGAAAGTCAGTTTTTGACATGGGAAATGGGGCTAGTGGATGGCTAAAAATCTCCATATCAATTTCTTGGAGCTGTCTCGAAACAAAACAAAACAGAAGGAACAAGAGCTGGAATTCTCAGTGGTCCGGCTGACTTGCATTGGCCTCTTCCTTGCTTAGAGATTTTCCTGCATCCGTCTAGCCCCCGGCTGGCATCTAGGAGTCCCTGCTGGAAACCCTTCGGAGAGACTGAGCTCCCAGCCTGCAATTTGCACCCCCTTGATTTGGACACGTTGCTTGCCAGAAGCCCTTGAGTTTCTCTCTCTCTGTTAATGAGTGGCATGAAATTGCCTCTCACATTCAACTCCATCTTGTCATCTTAGAGTTCAAAGTAGCCTTTGGCTTGGAAGGTATTTGGTAAGGTAAAATTAGTATGTTTTTCTTTAGAAGTAACAAAATTTACTGTGGTTTTTTTTTTTTTTTTTATTATTATTATTGTGCCTTTCATGAGTTACTGGGCACTGTTTACTTCAGACCTCTCCTGGCCAGGAGGACTCCCCCTCTGAATAGATGGAAGCTGCGGATATATCCATAGTGCATTTGAGAAAATAGATTTTGGAGGGTGCAACCATTCTCTTCTTTAGTAAAGTAGTTTTGTTTTGTTGTCCTTCTTGCGAGCCAGTAATTGAGCTTTGCACTTTCTGGATGTGGTCCTTTCAAAATGTGGGTGGTACAGAAAATAATTATAATTCCATAAAGGATGCACTAGTTTCAGAAACTAGATTAAAGCTATCTGTGATGTTTCAAAAACATCTAAATGAACAGATGAGTTCTCCTAGAGGCTGTTAGGGCCCCTCCCGGTGTCTCGGTGAGGACTGGTCTTGGCTGCTCCATGCATCTGTGGCCCTTCGGTCCATCCCTGAGACGGTTGCCCCATTGCACGCAGGCTCCAGAACGCCTGAACCCTGCCCAAGCACTCGGAGGGTCGTGTAGCACTGTGCCATGTTTTTCAATAGCGGTGTAGCTGTGGGTGAACAGCCACACCTGTTGCCTTGTCGAGGGAGAGGAGCTGAAGTTTTCTAGGCTGCTAGGGTGCCCTGCAACAGTCGTGCAGGCAGCAGGGACGGTGGGCCCTCAAAATGCGACATTCTGGTGTGGCCAGACTTTCTGCCGCATTCACTGATCCACCAGCGTTATTATGTAATAAGCTGCAGAAAATTAATTTTGTAGATCATTAATGGGGAGCTGCGTTTCCGTATCTGTGTTTACAGCTGGAAGTTTGTGTGGATGTGCGTGTGCATGGGTGCATTTAAAAGATCACACTAAACGCTGCGGCACTGAGCAACTTTTTTGCAGACAGTAAATCCAGGGGATACTTGGTTGGAAATGGAAGTTGAGAATTTGTGCTCTTATTCATCAAAAATAAACATGGCTGTCAGGGTGACAATCTGAAATATCCCAAAAGTATTGTCTTTACCTGGTGAATCTTTTCCTGAGTGTTGAACACCCAGAAATTTTATTACTGTGTATTTTTCTAATAAAGCAGAGCTTTCAAGGTGCTGATAGAGACATCTTGTGAACTTTTTTTCCAGGGTTTGTGTGAATACCTGTTTTTGATTCAAATTCAAAGCACTTATTTGAAATGTGTAATTAGGTGCCACAAACAAGGTTGCAGAGCTCTGGGCATTAGCAGGGTGTGCACTGCCAACTGCCATTTTAGCACTTTGTTCCCGCAATGGGCCCTTCTCTCTTTCCAGGTTCCCAGAATCTCTCTTGCTTCTCTTTAGAATGCCATTTCTGCCATGAAGTTTACAAACACAGCCCAGAGGAGAGAGCCCTGTTGTGTTCTCTGGGAGGGATGAGGGGGTGGGGTGGGGGGTATTTTTTAAGTGCTCACTGCCTAATTAAATTTTGGCATCTGATGTACAGCAATATAATGGGACTCATAGAGCCCTTTTGCCTCCTTGGTCACAAATTCAGGTTTTGACACTTAACTGTATTGGGACGAATACTGCTTTTACATACCTAGTTATGCATTTGCTCCCCAATTACAAATAGTAAGTTGCATCCTTGGGGGTTTTTTCCCCTTCCTGTTAACACACGTGGCTTTTTTCCTTTTATGATTACCTGAACTTCATTGTACAACTATGAATCAATGATGCTTTTGTTTGAAAGAATAGCTATCCCAAATTATTGAGCAGAAGAAATTTCTTTTTATGCTACAAAATGTATGTATCAAGATTATTTTAGCAAACCTCTTTATTATTTTAACTGTATTGTCCGGTTGAAGGACACTTAAAAGTCTCTTTCTCCCTGGCTGCCATCTGCTCTTCCCTCCTGACATGCCCCAAATTTGACTTGCTTGGGGCATCTCTGGCTTTAGTATCGTGCTGTTGTTTTCTATTCGCCTGTGAACACGCATCATCAAGTAGGTGCTCTGAACAACACTTGCAATTCTGAACTTTTGAATTTGGTTTTGGAGTCTTCCAAATTATAACACAGCCTAAGCAGGGAACAGCGAGGGGGGGGAAGGGGGCGAGGATTCAGTTTTCAAATGTAAATACCACATCATTACAAATCCTGTGTCAAGACCATATAATGGTGCTTTTTATTACAGTTAGCACATGCATTTTTAGAAATTACATGTTTTAGACAACCTTGCTGTGTATATGTATACTTCTGTATTGTTCAACTGTTAGAAAATAAATTATTTCATTATTAAAATTGTTCTTGTGTTGATGTTTTGCTTGAAAAATGGTTTTACTCACTTATTTTTAAATTATTTCAATTATTAAACTCTTTCAGAGTAATATTTACAATTTGGCTGGAGCAAGTCGCAGGCCTGATCCTTACAGAGCAGCACCTGTTTGATAGGGGAGCCCACTCCTCCCAGTTCCTGCAGGACTCCCCCACTCCCAATATATGGGGCGGCCTGTCTTAACAAAGCCCTTGCCGGTGGAAGGGGCTCGGGAGCTGAGCCCACCTGCAGAAAGTTGGGCTCAGACAAGAAGGGCCTGCGCTGCTGGGGGGGACGGGCAGAGGCTCTGGCACAGCCCTCCCTGGGAGTCCCTGTTTGCACTCCTGAGGGGAGGCACGAGCAATGGATCCATCTCCTCTCAGGAGGCTCTGTAACTATGAGAGGGATCTAGTTCTACTAGTGGACAACCACTTAAGTATGAGCCAGCCATGTGCTGCAGCTGCAAAGAAAGTCAATGCGATCCTAGGCTGCATCAATAGGAACAGCATCAAGATCACAAGTAGTGATCGTACCACCTTACGTTGCACTCGAGAGACCACGCTTGGAATACTTTCCGCTACCGGTTCTCCAGAACCCGTCAGAACCTGCTGAATTTCACCCATGATCCAAGATGCCCCGAATGGCTCTGAGAAGCTCCAGCACCTGAAGGGCCCAAAGGAGAAAAATGGCTCTTTCACGACCCTTGAAGGTCTTGTGGGGCACATGAAATCATCACCCCAAGCATGGCTACTGTAGATGACCGTGGTCCTAAGAAAGCTTAATGCCAAATCCAAGCCCACTTTTGTTCTGTCAGGTAGGAGACCTCAGACGCCATGGCTGGCATAGCCAGAGTGCCCAGTTCAACAAAAGGGCTCCGGGTGCCAATGCCTGATGCCCGGGGAAAGGTTTTTGAGGTCGAGTTTGTGCAGCAGACTGCACAACGCTTTTTCTGCTTTTCCACAATGCTATTAAAAAATCCTTGCATTTGCACAGTATGCTAAGCCATAAAAAAACACCAGAGTTAAAATTAACCATGCTCAGCATACTTGCACGGGAACTTGATTTATACCTAACCTGATGCTCAACTCAATATCTAAGAGCTCTCCTATCTGGGGTATTCCTCCCCACAAATGTTTTCTTTCAAATCTTCACCTTCTTTTTGTTTTCCTGCTCTATTTTTAGAGTGCAAACCCCTTAGGGAAGAAAGTTGACAAACCTGTTCTTAGGTGTGAATACGCATGGGTGGCACTAGATAAATATAATTTGGCCTCCTAGAAATCTGAGGTGCTGCTTGCACAGTAATTAAAAATTAATGTTGGATGCGTGTTTGGGTTGGTGTGACGCCCTGTGTTACCTGTGAGTGAAATGATCAGGTCCCGCCAGCTGACGGCCCCCAGTGCTGTCCAACCCGAACCCTCCCAGGCCTCCTGCCCAGGATGCAGGGAAGCGGAGACACACCCAGGGGATGCTGGTCGGGGTCCAAGGGGTGACCCAGAGCCAGCAGGAGCCAGCTTGCTGTGGGGTGGAAATGCAGTCTGGCCTGCCCAGCTGGTCAGTCAGAAGAGCCTCCCCCTCCTCCTCCCGCTCCGCCTCTCTGCTCCTTTGCTTCCTTGTTTTCTTTCATGGGGAGGGAAAGGTCTGGGGGGGGGGCGACCCTCTCAAAAGAGGAGGACCCTAAGCTAGGATGCAACAAGCAGGGGCTGGGGCACTCTGAGGGAGAGGGGGGGGTCTGCTCCAGGGGAATGCCTGAGGGTGCAGGAGGCGAACCCAGGAGGAGTGACTGATTTAGCCTCTCCCCCACCAAGCCCAATTCTGCTCTAAGCGTTCTCCTCCTCCCTTCACTCGGCTTCTGAAGATGGGACGGGGGGGTGGTTGGGTGGGCTGCCTTTGTCCTTCAAGGCTCTCTCGGAAAGCCTGGGGTTCTAGGAATATGTTAAATTTCTATGCCGCCCAACTTTGAGCAGTGATCATCCAGGGCTCCTTTGAGAAGGATAAGCCAGGAGGCCACGTGCCTTTGTTCTGGGCCCAAAGGGTGGCCAGACGGAGGTTATACTGGCCCAGCACAGAGTGCTCAACAGGCAGAATCCAGAGACTGCCCTTGCCAAGGATCAGAGTTCGACCCGCTCCCCAGCCCCAGCCGAAACCTCTGCTCAGCAGCCAAAAATGGGGAGGGAGGGGCGGATTTCAACCCTGACGGCCCCACTCTCTCTGGATTCTGCCTGTCTAGCACTCTGTGCTGGGGGGGTTTAGGACTTTTGGCCTCCTACCCTTGGCCGCGCCTGCTTCTCCGCCAGGCTTCCACCTGGGGGGATTTTCCTCTAGCTTTTCTCCTCGGCTGACACGCCTCCACTCATTCGCCACGGCTAGTCGGCCACGGCCCCTCCGTCCCACGCACTTCGGCACGGCCCATTCGACGCCACACTGTTGTCATGGGCAACTAGCCGATTGGCTGGTGGCTAACTGTCCCAGGAGGCAAAAAGCCCGGGACTAACAGTGTGGCGTCGAATGGGCTGTGCCGAAGTGTGTGGGACGGAGGGGCCGTGGTCGATGGCGAATGAGCGGGGGCTTGCAAGCTGAGGAGAAAAGCTAGAGGAAAATCCCCCCAGTGGAAGCCTGGCGGAGAAGCAGGTGCGGCCAAGGGTAAGAGGCGAAAAGTCCCATTCCGGGTAGGAGGGAGACCTTTCTGTCCTGGACACAGGTAGACGCAGCGCCCGGTTTTACTGGTCTCCCTCCACTTATGCAACCCGCAGCTTATTCCACGGCTGCAGCCTTGGCCTGCCTCCCCTTCTAGGCCTTTTGTTCCGGAGGCAATTGTGAGACTTGAACCCTTGCCCAGACTCTTGCATATTGGCAAGCCAGCCATTTTTCCATTGCAGAAGCCGAAGCAAAATATCCCAGATACAAAGAGCTTGTTTGTGCAGGGAGTTCTTGGTTTCCCTTAGAGTAAGAGGCGGCCTTTTGAGCAATGCTCTCCTCCCTGATCCAGAGACATGTGCAAGAAGGAGCAGGCCACTGCAAACCACGGGGTTCGCTTTGTTCCCCCGACTAGCCACAGCTGAGTGGTGTGGAAACGGGGCCCTCCTGCACGGCACTGCAGAGATTTCTCTGGAGACAGCAAGTAGCAGCTGTGGTTAGCAGGAGCTGGAAAGCGGCAGGTGCCCCATCCCTGAGACTCTGCAAGACTGAGTCCCTTTCCTGCTTGGCGGAATCCCAGGCAGGGACCAAGGCCTCCCCAGGGCTTCACCAAGGGGCTCAAATTGAAGATGCAACCTGGTGAAGGAAGTTGTCGGCAAGAAAAAAACCTATCCTGAATGCTTGCTCTTTCCATGCCTTTCCAGACACCCCTCCCCCAGGCCTCCTCACCCTTTCCTGCAGGGCACGAGGGTCCCACCAGCAAAAGGTTCCACACTTCCTCTGGGGTTGCGGGAGAGATTAAAATGGGGCCGTGCACTTTGGGACGTCCATGCCTCCTATGTCCCCTGAGCTGGTCAAGGATTATTGGCAGAGATAAGCGTCCTTCAGATGCTTTGCAGAAGATCCCATCCTTGATCGGGGTGCTGATGTCGCTGCTCCAAATAGGCTCCTCACCCAAGTTGCTCTCTCTCCTCAAGGAGGGGGGGCAGCCTCGGGGCAGCCACCTGAGCAGTCCAGTCACAGCCCCTGACCCCGAGGCAAGGCAAGCAGGGGCTGCCCTCGGCTGACACCCCCCCACCCCTCACCCTCCAGCGTTATCAGCTCAGCTGCCGGCCAGGCCAGGCTGAGCATTTGCATTGTTTTCTGCCTAAGAGCGGGATCTTACTTTTCTCTCCACTGAACTGCGTTTTGTTGGCTGGGGTCCAGTGTTCATATGTTCTGGATCTTGAGCCGACCTCCTGGGGTGTTGGCTATTCCCCCCAGCTTGGTGTTGTCAGTAAATTTGATGAGTTCCCCTTCTACCCCTCATGTACATCATATATGGAGATATGGAAAAGTACTGGGCCCAGGACAGACCACTGCGTTGTCCTACTGCATGCTTCCCTCCACCCTTGGCCAATAAAGAATTCTATTCTATTCTATTCTATTCTATTCTATTCTATTCTATTCTATTCTATTCTATTCTATTCTATTCTATTCTATTCTATTCTATTCCTTTTTCTTTTCTGTTCTATACTATTTTGTAGGCGTAGTTCCATTGAGGACAAGACCCGGAGTGAGTGGAGATCGTGGTTGTGGCTATGAAGGGAGAGAGAGAGAAAGAAGGCTGGATTGGGTGAGATTGAGAGGAAATGCCTGAGCGTCCTCTGAAGCTGTACCAGCCTTGGGAGGGAACGAGTCAGCAGTCTTGCTCTGGGAGGCTTGCAGCAAGAGGTTCCGGAAGTGAGTCGCACTGTTGTGATGCCTGTTTGTCTGGCAACCATGTGTCACGTTCCAAAACTCACATAGCTGAGATGGCCTCAAGGGGGGTGAGACTTAAATCTCCGGCAGGAAGTGAATCCAGGTGAGACTACCTGTGTGTACCTGCCCTGTGAGCTGATGTAAAGTCTGCAGAAGATCTGCTCTCCCCCCCCCCCCCCCCCCCGGTGTCTGGGAAAACCAAAAGTCTGAAACAACCCTTGGCTGTTTAGGTCACAAAATCATTTTAATGCCTGGGAGATGCACTTGACCATTTCAGCTACTGTGGTGGTTCGCCTCCAGGTGGGGGGGGACGGACACATATCCTTCCAAAAGGTTTTCCCCTCCCCTCCCCCCTCCCCACCCTTGAACTGAGCAGGAACTAATTGGTGGTTGCATTTTGTCAGGATCCTTGGCTGGTAGGATGATTTCTATTTTGCTTTCTTTGTGAAATGATCAACAAAAAGGTACCGCAATACAGAACCGTCCTTGCTCTGCTCCAGGAGTCTGTGTAAACAAGGCCACTCCACTCCGCTGGGGCGAAGAGCCGCTCTCAGAGCGTCCAGTTTTTCAACCAGGCTCCGCAGGAAGCGAGGACAGAGTCTGTGGGCAAGCT